AATCCCTTCTGTGACAGGGAGTGCAAGCCGCAAGTTCGGGCGATTTTTTGTTCTCGAGTTATGAACATTTTAAGCAGCCGAGGCGCAAACTGACGTTTCTCTCGCATGTCGGAGGTGGCATGTTTCTACTTTTTGCCCTTTTTCGGTAGTGCAGTGTAACCTTTTTGGGCCACTCTCAGAATTGGGATTATTTATGGTCAGTAATTTTATTGTGAGTATTTATCTTCACTTATTTTAAATATTGTCAAAGTGTGTCCCTTTGACATTATTTGTCAAAGTTTGACCAGCTCTTCCGTGTGACCTATTTAAGATATCGTAACATATTTAGTATTTTCAGAAAGCTAAGAGTATACTCTTTCTATTGAAAACAAATTTAACGTTGTGTGTAAAAGAGAAAGGGCAGTGTATTCTGGTAGAGCAAGGACTATTTCAAAATATTGGAAAATTGGAGGTCCATTTTCTAAACAACCCACCTTTTATTTGGCTGATATTTTTTCTCTAGCTAGCTATTGCAGTGCTTTATAAGGTAATATAAATAGTAAATGTAAAATTTTGTTTGTATGGCAGCTATAAGAGCTTGAAATTTGATTTTGTTTGACTGTTTTGTCAGTAAATCAACTTACTCGCAAAAATACACTAATTCAAAATTGGCGCCTCTCATTTTTTTTAATAGATACCTGTGAACACACTTATTCTCCGATAAATATTTTAACGCGATTATTTATATGAAATATATTTTAGAAAATTTGTCAATATGCCGTTTCTGGACGATATTTGTGAAAGATTACCAGCTCTTCCGTGTGACCTATATGAGGTGTCTTAACATATTTAGTCTTTTTAAAAAAAAAGCTTCGAGTATACTCCTTCTAATGATAACAAATTTGATGTTGTGTGTAAAGGAGAAAGGGCAGTATTTTTTCGTAAAGCAAGGACTATTTCAAAAAGTTTGGGAATTGAAAGTCGATTTTCTAAAAAGCCTACCTTTTCTTTTGTCTATTTGTTTTTCTCTAGCTACCTATTGCAGTGATTTATAAAGTAAAATAAACAGATAATGTAATATTTTGTTTGTATGGCGCCTATAAAAGCTTACATTTTGGTTTTTGTTCACTTGTCGCCTAGTAATACAAGTGACTCACAAACATACACTAACTCATAATTAACGCCTCTGAAATGTTTAGTAAATACCTGTAAATTTCATTAATAAAAGAAGGTGCAAGCGGCGAGTTAGGCTAATAAAGCGTCTAGGTCATAATAGATTTAATGTTTTTTTTTTGTTTTTGTCAAACCGCCTCTCTGCAACAATATTTGTATTTTGCGCTAAACATATAACGCGGAACATTTGCCTGAAAAACGAATATTTAGAAAGACTTGCAAGTTTGAAGTCAATTTGCTAAAAAAAAAAAAAAACTTTCATTTTTTTTATTTACAGTTAGGTAATATAGTATTTTGTTAGGAACTACCAACAGAAATTGTAATATATTGATTGTATGGCTTCTATTAGGACTCGAATCTCGTGCTATGCGAGTTTTGAACGGGAATTCACATAGAAGCTCAGCTGAGCAGAATTTTGACCTATGTAAGGTTTTCTTACCTCAATATTTGAGCGTAAAAGCCAGTGAAGTAACAATATTTATCCTAACAATATTTATTTACTTGGCACTGGCGTGATTCGCAAGGTGTGTGACCTTGGCCCTATGTATTGACGGAGAAGATACGGAGTTTGTCCGGGAGAAGACTCCCGGACAAACTTAAGTCAGGAGGAAAACGTCTAAGTAACTCGGCATGAATCACTGAAAATAGAAATGAAACCTAAACACATTATTAACACATTCGAAGCCTTACACCCTACGAAATGCTCGTTATTTTACGAGAGTCCGTACGTGCACAAAATAAACCGTACTTCCTAAGCGTCAGATACAAAATCATTCATATGCATATGCACTGCATATCTGTTTGACATAAGAAAATATGACAATTACATATCAAGTTCGGTATTTCAAACTCAAAGTGGAAAGCAAAAGGCCCCAGAGGAATCCTTTAACGATCTGCATTCCTCCGTATTGAGAGGAAGTAAGCGCCGGGTGCCCGCACTTATGGATACGGACTTCTAAGTAATTTTTTTAAGTACACTACTCCAAATTTTATTAATGTTTATGGTTGGATATTGAGGTAACTGCTAACGATAAGTAGAAAACCTTACATGGGCCAAATTTCTGCTCAGCAGAGTGCCTATGCGAAGTCCCATTCAAAACGCTCACAGCACGAGATTCGAGTCATAATTGCGGCCATACAAACAATATATTACAATTTATGTTGGTAGTCCCTGATAGACTCCATACAAACAATATATTACAATTATGTTGGTAGTCTGATAGACCTGATAGACTGGTAGTCCCTGATAGATTTCAAGCTCTTATAGCTGCCATACAAACACAATTTTACATTTACTATTTATATTACCTTATAAAGCACTGCAATAGCTAGCTGGAGAAAAAATATCAGCCAAATAAAAGGTGGGTTGTTTAGAAAATGGACCTCCAATTTTCCAATATTTTGAAATAGTCCTTGCTCTACCAGAATACACTGCCCTTTCTCTTTTACACACAACGTTAAATTTGTTGTCAATAGAAAGAGTATACTCTTAGCTTTCTGAAAATACTAAATATGTTACGATATCTTAAATAGGTCACACGGAAGAGCTGGTCAAACTTTGACAAATAATGTCAAAGGGACACACTTTGACAATATTTAAAATAAGTGAAGATAAATACTCACAATAAAATTACTGACCATAAATAATCCCAATTCTGAGAGTGGCCCAAAAAGGTTACACTGCACTACCGAAAAAGGGCAAAAAGTAGAAAGGAGTGAAACATGCCACCTCCGACATGCGAGAGAAAGGTCAGTTTGCGCCTCGGCTGCTTAAAATGTTCATAACTCGAGAACAAAAAATCTCCCGAACTTGCGGCTTGCACTCCCTGTCACAGAAGGGATTTCCCCAAAACATATATTTTATTAGTCAAAATGAAAAATTTTACCCCAAATCCGTGCCTGAGTTAAGATGAAATTACCCATACGCACTGCATATCTGTTTGACATAAGAAAATTTAACAATTACATATCAAGTTCGGTATTTCAAACTCAAAGCCGAAAGCAAAAGGTCCCAGAGGAATTCTCTAACGATCTGCATTCCTCCGTATTGAGAGGAAGTAAGCGCCGGGTGCCCGCACTTATGGATACGGACTTCTAAGTAATTTTTTTAAGTACACTACTCCAAATGTTGTTAATGTTTATGGTTGGATATTGAGGTAACTGCTAACAATAAGTAGAAAACCTTACATGGGCCAAATTTCTGCTCAGCAGAGTGCCTATGCGAAGCCCCATTCAAAACGCTCACAGCACGAGATTCGAGTCATAATTGCGGCCATACAAACAATATATTACAATTTATGTTGGTAGTCCCTGATAGACTACTGTATTACCTAACTCTGAATAAAAAATAAAATAAATAAAAGGCGTTTTTTTTAAGAAGATCGACTCCAAACTTGCTAGTTCTTCGAGATATCAGTTTTTCAGGCACATGTAGCGCATTATACATTTATTGCACAATTTTTAAATTATACTCAAAAGAAAGAGCTTAATTGACGCTTTACGGTGATGTAAAGATCATAAAATATGTTGATTAGGTCACACAGCACAGCTTGCTGAACTTCGTCAAATATCGTCGCAGAGAGGTAGTTTGACAAATAAAACCAAATACATTAAGACTGTTATGGCCTAGACGCTTAATTAGCATAAAAAAGCATATGTTGAGAGTGTTCCCAGAAAGGTTATATTGATGTAGCGTAAAAAGTAAGGAAAATTGATGTAGTGAAATATGACACCCCCGATAAGCTGGAAAAACGAGTTTCCTCCTTGGCCGCTTCAACGGTCAATAACTTGAGAACAAAAAATCCGATGAACTTGCCGTTTACGTCTTCTTTTATTATATGAACTTATCGATAACATGTAGTTTTTTAAAAAAAGAATAAAAATGCGACCTAAAATTTGTGCCCGAGTTGAGATGAAATCACCCGTATATAGTATAGATATACAAAAAATGTTGCATCGCCCTTTGAATTTTATTTTTCACCACTATGTGATTGTGTCCGGGCTCGCACTAAAAATATTCATGTGATTCTCGACTCTATGAGCCTGTTTGCGTGCAAAAAATCCGAACACCCAACCAAAATCGCTGTAACGCTAAAAAAAAAAAGAAAGACGTTTACAACTTTCTGTAATGCCAAATTAGAGCGCAGTTCTTGAGGAGGAGGAGGGAAGGGTACTGAAAGTAGGGTATATGGTATACCCCCTCCTTCCTTCTCACCTCCTCATCCTCCCTGCTACTCCTCCCCCCGCCTCCTCTTCCTCCTCCTCCCCGCGCGGTGCATTGTGGGAAATGTCCTACAATGCACCGCGCGGTTTCGCCGACGCCGACGGCGACGCCGTCGCCTCTCAAAAAAAAAAAAAAAGTGTTTAGATGTTAGAGAGAGTTCAACTGCTCGATTAAGGTCACGTGGTTCGTGACGAAAGCGTTGATTGTCTTCAAGCGTGTCCATCCGCTTTCCTTCTTGCCACGTGATAACAAAACGCATGCGCACTTGTGTCCAATCTGAGCGAGAGGCGTCCGCCATTAAATTGCAAACGATCCCCGTGGTTTGAGACGTTTGTGTCGTTCATTCTCTTAAATCTAGGCGCTCTAAAAAAAAGCCTTGGGAAGTGGCGCCATCTCTGTACTTTATCTTAAACCACAAATTGTTGGTGAATCTTTTAAACTTTCAACTATTTGTTTTTATACTTTAAAACTCACGCTGTGTACTTTATGTCAAAAAAAAAAAAAAAAGACAACACTTAATTTTTTTAATTTTAGCAAACATTACTGGCTAGAGTTCTTAAATAAGGGAGGCTAGCTATCATCATCATCTGTTTCATGTTTCGTTTTCGGATGAATACTCGGAAGTGAGAACGTGTTATGGTGAAATCTCGGCCCATTTTTCCTCCCAAGTTTTCCCGGTCGCTGGCCTGTCCTTCGTTGCCCGCAGTCTTCCTTCTCCAAGCATTCTCCAGATCAAAAACGCTGCGAGATTGAGACGTGATCACCTGGAAGATCCGCTGCGGTACCCACAGCGAACCACACCATGTATCTGGTGGGACTCACCGGTGGCATCGCCTCTGGAAAGAGCAGCGTAACGGGCATCCTCCGAAGCCTCGACGTCGAAGTGATCGACGCCGACCGCATCGCGCGAGACGTGGTCGAACCGGGAAAGCCGGCATGGTTCAAGATCCGACGCGAATTCGGCGCCGAGGTCTTCCTCAGCAACGGTCAGCTAGACCGTCCCGCTCTCGGGCGCATCGTGTTCAGCGACGTCACCAGGCGGAAAGTGCTGAACCGGATCACTCATCCCGAGATTCACAAAGAGATGGCAGCCCAGTGCCTGAAGTTGATGCTCAAGGGACATCAGTTCGTCGTCATCGACGTGCCTTTACTCTATGAGACCAAGACCGTGCTACGGTTCCTCCACAAGGTCATCGTGGTGAACTGTACGCCGGAGCAGCAGCTGATTCGGCTGATGCTGAGGAACGGACTGAGCGCCGAGGACGCGCAGAGCCGAATCCGAGCGCAACTGCCCCTTGAGCAGAAGTGCGCATTGGCCGACTTCGTGATCGACAACTCGACGGACCCGGCCCATACCAGGAAACAGGTTGAAGACGTCGTCCGGACTCTCAGAGCATCGAGGACTCACTGGAAAATCCGCGCCATCGTTTTTGTTGTCCTCACGGGAACGATTGTAAGTGCAGCGTGGACGGTGAAACTATTTTGGAGCTTCGCGATGTCACGATAGCCGCACGGGGTTGTAGAATTTTTAAGTGTTACACGGGTCTTTTTATTTCAAAGGATTGGGGCAGGTGTATCAAACACGCATGATGACGTTAAATATACTAATAGGCGCTAGTACTAGTTGTGAAATATGCCAAAGACAACTGGGCCATATAGCATCTCGGTTAACTTTGAATTTTATACAGACTCTTTGAGGTCTGTACTTTCATTCCATGGAGAGCCGATATATAGGGTGTCTGCAATACCAAGGCTGGATCTAAAATGGGCCGTAAAAATTGGCACCTGTTAGTAGCTTAAGCTTTTCGTCAAAGGTGTATTTCACAAGTGGGTTTTACCTTGTAAAATTACAAATGTAGCTGTCTTTCTGTAAAAAAAAGGGCCAGAAACTTGCCAGGGTCAATGGTGGACGGCGATGAAGACGACGAAGTCGAGTCGTGGGGCGTGTTTGGCGCATGTATTGATACATGGTGCTACCTCCTCATCAAGACTGCTCGCGATGACCATGGTCTATTAAAATGAGCACAAGTTTTTTGTAATGTACCTTTACTTTGGTTTAAAAATAAATGTGGACAATGATAGCAAAACCTGAACTAACAAAAAAGAAAATGCGGTTACATAACGACAGCGCTCTTGCTGCCGACAAATTTCGTTTGACGTCGTCTGCCTTTTTTCGTTGATCGGCTACGTTTTCCAACAGTGCTTTTGATACCATCTATCAATACGTGCATCAAACGCGCCCCGCCACTCGACTAGGTCGTGTGCGTTGCCATCCGCCATTGACCCTGGCAAGATTTTTGGCCCTATTTTTTACAGAAAGGGAGCTATACTCTGTGATTTTACAAAATAAACTCGCCTGTGAAATTCAACTTTGACAACAAGTTTAGAATGTTACGTGCAGGCGGCGACTTTTACAGCCCATTTTAGATTCAGCCTTCGTATTTCAGACACCCTATACAGCGCAAAATACCGGGGGAGTGCCCACAGCACTTTCACTGAAAACTGGGTTAATCTAGACATGGGAACTTGTCCGGTCAAATCGGGCACTTAATGTATACTTTGCAAAATTCCCAAGTTTGGGGAAATAGTAATAGTGGGCGCTTGAACGAAGTAGGCACTTCCGCAGTATTTTACGGTGTATACCACCAAGTTATTTTTTTCAGATCAGGATTGCTACATCCCATATCCTATAGCTTTTCTTTCTTTTTTTTGTGCAAAGTTTACACACGTCCAATTATAAACATGTGACTTGAACTGAAAGTTTATTCATCTAGTCTCATGTCTATTATTCTATACTTGGCATCAGCTATTTAGTGCTACGTTGTCAAGGCTAAAACATCTTCCAGAGTCCTGCAGCTCTGCACTACTACGATAGCGTGTGGCTTCATCTTGCATCTCATTCGCACTCGCTCTCAAGCAAAGGAGACATGTTGTGGCACTGTGAAAGCTATGCTAGCTTTGACAATATAGCACAAAATAGTTGATGCCAAGTATAGTTAGATAGTATGAAGCCTGTTGAGTAAATTTCAAATTATATTTTCATACTTTGACACATGCTTTGGGAGCTCAGCTCTTCTTGGTGCTTGCAGACTCCGAGCTGGACTCGGATTCCGCACTTTGCTTCATTGACAAGCAGCTGCTGACATTGCTTGGTGAGCTTTCTTGCAGTTTCGTAGATAATTGGTTCACCAACATTGTCAGCTGATCCATCTGCTTTTGCTGCTGTGCATCAAGGTGATCCAGCTTCTTCTTCACTTCAAAAATGTCACTGCTTTGCTGAAGAAAAAAAAAGAAAACAACAATATTCAACCAAAAGCAGTAATGTATATTCACAACAACAAAAAAAAAAACTGCTTTTGTAAAAGCAGGTTGAGATCTTTTACTTTTTCCTGTGGTTAGCTTTTTGTAGTGTTATGGCAATTTGAGCTGTACACTTATGAAGTGGCTACTGGCTAACCAAATTGCAGAGTTCCACCTCCTGGGAGACCATTTCAATGAATTATCTATCAAGAGATGATCCTTGCTTTGTTTTGACAAGGGGCATGACCACCTGTTCAACGAAGGAAGATGATGTTAAAGAGACAGTCTCGTTAAATGCTCCTTTTGCAATAACCAACACTTGCAACCAAAAACAGATACCTGTTCCATGCTTTATGACCTTGCAGGAGTTTATTCTAGGCACCGGTTAGCCAAGTCGAAGAAATAATTTTACGGCTCCCTTAAATCTTAATAAATTGCCTTCTCGATCTACACATAGGCATCAAGCATCAATCTCTGTATGCGCATTGTACACCACTTGGACTCATTTACATATCCTATATTAAAGTGAACTGATTTAAAGTCAATTAAAACTAACAAATTTCTTGTGTTTTACACTGACAAGGTCACTTGTCTCAGCCAAAGTGATGCTACCTCCTTTGCATACTGAGGAAACCGAGAGCATAAAAATGGACTGTTGACACGCTTCTAGCAATTTTACCTTTTGCTTCTTTTGGGCTGCTTTACCTTATTCATCTAATTCCTGTTTTGACCCTTTTGCCGGAAATAAACAATGTTATCTAAGTCCTTTAAAGTATAGATTCGCTGAATTATCCATAGATTAATCTATCGACTGAGAGTGTTGGGTAAGGTACATCTAAAAGGTACTTCAAGCAAAGTACAAAGGAAATGATATGTGATGTACTTCAAGTAAAGTAAAAAGTACACTGGGTGCAATGTACCTGAAGTAAAGTACTATAAATACAATGTACTTTAAAAGCAAAGTACAAGTATTTAACACAATCTTTGATGATGTCCTTTAATTCCCCTATACAGTGATTTTGAACTGGTATGCATTGCCCAGGGGTAATCAGGGCTGCATGACCTATTTTCAAAAACAGTGGCAAATATTTGATAAAGTCAAGTGGCCACAAAGTAGTCATTTTCATGAATGGAGCCAAATTCAGAAGTCCCTCTTCTGAATTTGGCGCCGCTTGCACTAGATTGTTGCGCCATGACGTTGGCCCTGTAGCTCCAGCAAGCAATACTTTCAAGAAGAAATGTCCTCTCTTTAACGAAAAAAAAAAAAAAAAAAATAAAAATAGTGGGTGTGAAAGTAAGCTGGTGATAATTAACCATAATGTGACACCTGATATTGGGGTGTGAAAAAATTAAGGAACTTTCAAGCCGAAGGAAAAGAAAAAAGAATGTCTCAAAACATTGCGACGTTCTCCTCTGTTGTCTTTTTCTTCGACTTGAAAGTTTAATTGTTCTGCACCATAGTTTCAGTTGCTTGATTATGATTCATTTTGCTCTCCTAATAATTTAAACCTCCCCGCTTGCGCTGACTGACTGAGAAGTAGCGAGAGTTCAAAAAGCTAAGGGGAAGCCGCCCCCAGAACAACCGGAGCGATGCATCATCTGCTCACATCTCTGGTGAGAGTAGAATATCCCACCCAGTATTTCTTCGGAGTTCACAGAGCATCATTTCGTGATACAAATTTAACAAAACCAAATTTGGGGAATGTACTTTGAAGTCGGAAATTGTACTTTCCTCGGAAAGCACCAGAAAAAAATACTTAAAGTAAACTACAAGTACATACTCAGAGAATGTACTTCGAGTAAAGCACAAGTTGCCTAAAGCTACTTGAAGTAGTACTTTAAGTACAATGTACTTGAAGTATTTTCCAACACTGTTCACTGATTAATAGTAAAACAGCAATCGCAGCACCACATACTTTGAAACCTGAAAGGCATGGCGTGAATAGTATGGCTGAATGAATGACGCAAAACTAAATGATAATGCATTGTTGTCTCTGCCCTCATGCTTGGATGCCATGCCAGAAACAAGTTTTACATACACCAACCTTGCACTGAAAGCAGTGTATGTATCAAAATTATTTGTTTTATGTGAACTCTGGTCGATCCTAGCACCAAACTGTACAGCACTATACCCCTACTCTAATTCACACCAAGTTTGAGCACAGCCGGTGCTACATTACAATGGAGCCAATCAAGCAGTGTCAAAAGTGCATTGTCATGGCCCTTGCCAATCATCTGCAGTGAATGTCCCATGATCCTGCACTTTTATCTGTGCGTGATTGGTTGAACTGGTGATAGCAAATGTACGAAAACTATGAGCACAGCAACGATGCACTTTTCGCACTGCTTCATAGGCTTATTGTAATTTGGATCGTGCCTGCACTTGGACTAGTGTGGAACGGAGTATAGTTGACATTAGGCGTGCTCCAGTACAAAGTAACAAGCATAAACCCTATGCTGCCCGCTTGCTTGTCGTGCCTGCATATGCTCATCTCAACTAACAGCTCACGCTTGTAACTTTGGATTTACTCATGCTTTCCTTGAAAAGGAGCACGATATCATATAGAAAGACTTAGGGCAAAGACAGTCCTGCATCTGGACTATCATGCACTTGTGTTTTTACCTTCGTCCAAAGTTTTTCAACACCTATAGGACAATCAAGATGTCTGAGGCAGCTCGAATTCTTCAAGATCAACTTTTTAGCCGAGCTAATTTCCAAGCACAAAATGTGGCAGAGGCTTAGGTTACCTTTCTTGTGGTAGCAGCGAGGTCACCAGTGCCTTGAGCTTTTCCTTCTTCCTCTGGGGGTGGGGAGAAGTCTAGCAAAGATCGAAACTCTTGCTGTTTCCTACGCAGTTTCTTCAGTTTATGCTGAAGTTGGTTGTGAATATCGAGTGGCACATTCTGCCTGAAATGTAAATGTAACGGTAAAATTATTTTAAAAATCATTGTAGAGACTGCAAAACACTGAGGTCTAATTCCACACTTTCGATGTGGCAACAACAGACATGCGTTGATGCTGTTAGCAAGCTCCTGCAGTGCTTTATCATAAAGTTTGCCTTCGTCAGTAAGGCATACTTAGTGCAAAGCTGGGAATATAGTAATAGTGTGGCAGACCACTTTCTTTTGTTGTTCAAAACCTTTTTTGTTTTGTTCACCGTCTTTCTCTCTTCATCAACCTGAATAACAAAAACAAACTGATTTTGAATAATGTGAGGAGAGTCATAAGCAGTAAAATCTAAAACAATTGAGCTGTGAGGCATCCAGGATATGTAATCTGCAGAGCAAATCCTTGAAGAGAAGGGAGCAAAGTGATAATAGATGCATATGAAAACACTTCAAACTTGTCAGAAAGTAAATGGGTAAAACGGACACTGCATTAAATGGAGCAGGTGTCAAGGGCTGATGAGTTCTCAAGTTTGACGAGTCATAGACTGGGCTCTGTCATCTCCTTCGAGTGTACCGAATACAGCAGCTGAAACAGTTGGCAGTACCTGAGCTGGTGTGCCTCAGATTCAATCTGGCGGTTTGCTGATTTCAGCTCCTTGATTTTGGCATGGTAAGCACTTACAGTCTTCTGAAATTGTTTGTTTTTCTAGAAAAAAAGCAAAATGAATATTCCATTGCACCACAGCTCTTCTTCATCCTGAAACAACTTTTGACAAACTAAATGGACTGTAGTCCATTGCAACTCAAGAAGGTTGGGCAAGAAAAAGGAAGGCTTGTGAGGAGGAAACAGGCAGAACACTGGAGAGGAGAGGGGGAAGCCTCCTTCTTCCTCCACCGTTTCGTCTGCTTCCTCCTCCCCGACGTTCCTTCTCCTCGTCCCACCTTCTTGACTTGCAACTAACTATAGTAGTGGAAGTTCAAAATACTGCAGCCAGAATGTGAGTAATAAGTTCTGTCACTTCAAATTATAGTACCAAAATAAGACCTTTAGAGAAAAGACATAAGCATTTCTTTTGTGCAAGTACAGACCTGTTTAAGAGATCTCAGTTTCCTGTTGAACTCTTTGTGAGCCTGTCTTAAGTCAGACTCAAGCTCCTCAATTCGTTTTACATAGTCATATTTCTCCTGTTCCCATGACAACTTCATCTGCATGTTGACTTTTTGATTCTGCTCGTTAATCTTCATAACATCTAATTGGGCACCCTGTGTGGACACAAAGATGAATGAGCACAAGACAGCACTGATCTTTAAAATGCAGCTCTTCTATCAAGAAACAGTCTGGATGGTTCAAGTATCACTTTACTGAGGAACTGTAATGATCAGTTCAAGGTCTCCATCAACTCTATCAAATAATGCTAAGCCAGAAAGGGGCATAGCAGGCAGACAAGAATTTATCGACTGGTGTCATTGAAAAATAGCCCACCCTAGAATGCACTGCTCCCTTTTATCTTTTTCCAGTTCTTAATCACACTAGATTTACTTGGACCTGGGACATAGCAGGAAAGCACTTGAATCCTACTGTCTGCCAAACCTGCGAAAATGTTTTTCTTTGTGTTGCCGTGTGGTTCCTTAGCACTAGAATTACCCTACTTCCAGCAAAACTCTTTGCAAACCTTCTTTGAGGTTTTTGTAAGTTAATTTTCCTTTTTTTTCCATTCATCCTTTTGCATACAGTTAAGGTCATCATTTGACAGGTCTTTAACACTTTTCAAATCAGACATAAAAATGGTATCACCTTTTCTCTTATTCAAATATAATATGATATGATAAGACATTTGTTAATTTTCCAAATATCCTTGAAAAAGAGTTTTATTCGAAAATAGTGCAGACATGAATAGTACTAAAGCAAATGGTTAAATAACACTGAATCGAACCCCAGCACCCACTATACTCGTAGCATGCAAACAATGAATAAAATAAGAATTAAAAGAAAGGTAAACAATTGTCCACCTCTGTCCAAGTTACTCTACCATAACAAACAGATGAAGGCAGGGTTCCTATTCACCTTGATACTAAAAAAAAAAAAGGGCGTGAGCCATATATTGGCATATGTAGAATGCATAGAGATTAGAATATATTGTCAGCTCTCGTTTCAGATAAAAAGTCGTCAATCATCTTATTATATATAACAACACTCTTGAAAGGAAAGATCACTAAAAATGTAAAAGTGACAAGAGCCACTGAAATTCTGACAACCTGCTATTCAATGCAGACACACATCAATGTGGGTAGCTCATTCGACACACAAGTTATTTTTTAGGAGATATGACTAGATGGATGGATGGATAGATGCTAACCGCTGTAACCTTTATAATGGGCGGTAGCTTGTGCCAACTAGTTTAGAAGCTAAAAACCAAAAGTGTGACTCCTCCCCTTGCCCTTTTAAGCCAATTTGCTCCCACTATGCACTTTTGTAACTTTCACTAGGGGGTCTGGGATATCACCAGGATGACTGGTGCCATTTTGCCCACTGGTGACCGACCTGAAGCTCCGACTTCAGCCTCTCGACCGTCTCCGAAAGGCCGTCCTTCTGCTGCATTGTGCCTTCGATTGCTGCCCGGTCTTTCCTGCGCTCTTCTTCCAAAAGCTCCAGCTTCTGTCGTAGAACGTGGTTTTCGGCAGTCACCTTGTTGGTGTCCTCCCTGACGGCCAAGCTCGCCTTCAGCCTGGTCCTGAGAGCCAGCATCTCTTCCTCGAGTTCTTGACGCTGGCTCTCCTGGGCCTGCTTAAGCCGCTTCATCTGCTTCTCGGCTTCCATCAGTCTCTGGTCGGCTGCAGCCTTGGCAGTGGCCACCTCCGAAAGCTGGGCCTCCAAAAGCACTTTCTCAGATTCCAGTTGCCGGGCACGGTCCCAGTCTTTGGTCCGTGTCAGCTGGTGCCTCCGTTCTGTCTCCTTCTCTTTCTCAGCAGCTGTCCTCTTGTGTTCGTTGGCAGCTTTCAGTGCTAGTTTGGCGTCCAGTTTGGCATCTGTTGCATATCAACAAAGATGATGTTTGAACTTACTTTTCACGATCATGCAAGGGACACCAACAGTCAGCAACAGGTTAGGAGTAAAGGTCAATGCTCCACCTCCAGCGCAAGCTTTCTGCTTTTGATAACACTCCATTGCGCACAGAGCCAATGCCTGGTGGAAGGCAACGAGCGCATGCTGCAGGTGGAGCATCTACTGCATTCTTAAGGCCCGTTCACACTCTTGCGACTGCTTACGACCTCTTAAACCTGGGTTCCTTAAAACTTCTTAAACCAGAGAACACACTGGCGCCATCTATTGGGAAGCAGTGTAAACTCGGCGGTCCGGCATATTTTTTTTTATTTCTCGCGCAATATCCTTTCTTTTTTGGCTCGAAAAACTTTTGTCAATGTTATAAACGAGCCTTTCTATGGGTATTACGCACATTTGACCTCGGAAATCCCGCAAAACCTTTGCTTTTGTGAAATGCAGTTCTAGGGTCACCGCATAGATGGTGCCACAATGTCAGTGTGTCCCCTCATTCTAGAAACATTTAAGAAGTTGTAAGAGATCTCGTCTCTCTCAGTCGTACTCGGTCGCAAGAGTGTGAACGGGCCTTTAGTCTGTCACCAACTGTACAGCCTTTGTCCTGCACATATCTGCCACATGGACCTGGCCTTTTTTGGCCCTCACAAGGGTTTGCTTGAAGCTGCAGGCAGTTCAGAAAACTTCAGTGGTTCTAGGAAGATGTAAGGTGTATATAACCTAAAATCTAAAACTAATGTTAGTGCAATGCAGACTTGTACCGTACGCATTACAAGTAATCAAATTACTTGTAATCGATTACTTTTTGGAGTAATTTTGTAATCAGTTGATTACTTTTATTAGGCAGTAATCACAAGAGTAATCTGATTACTTTTTGAAGTAATAAAAATTACTTGTAACCGTTACTAATTTTCCACGGGACCCCCCCTCCCCCCCCGCACACACCTTTTTTTTTCTAAAATGACAGGAATAAAATTTGCGTCTTTTTCCAACAGAAAAAAAAAAAAAGATTTTTGCGGACCTGTAGGAAACAAGGTCCACCTCTCTGTATGTATAGTTTCTGTAAAGTGACAGTTTTTTTGTTTGTTTTTTTAGCTGGGATTGAGATTGGGGAGCCCCAGGAAAGGCCCCAGTGCATGACTAAGGGCATTCAGGATGAAGTTTGAGGGAGCAGAATGTAGCTTTGTAAGTCCTTTGTTCAAACTAGCCCCCTCGCGCACACACACAGAAATGCGAAAAAAAAAAAAAATCCTGGTTATGGTACCTACTCGCAGCCCCTAGGAGAGCCAGAACCGAAGAATGTCTAAAGCGGACGCAAAATATAACAAAGCCAGTTCAAATACACGTCAAGATCCCATATATTTCCCCTACGTGGTCTTTGCGACAAGCAAGGTTTCGAGGTTGGAGGTAGTTCATTGTTCTGAGCGCTAAAGTTGTAAGTCTTCACACAATAAAGTAATCGGAAAAGTAACGATTACTTCTTAAAGTAATGTCCAGTTACTTTTGCTGTCGAGTAATCAAGTAATCTAATCGAATACTTTTTAGCCAAGAGTAATAGTAATTGTAATCGATTACTTATTTTTAGTAACGTGTACATGACTGGTGCAATGCAAACTATTTTTCAAATGAGCTGTCTGCTCATTGTCAAAAATAGATGTGCAGATACTGTGAGAGTTTAATGATTTTAATATCTTACAGCTCGACAGAAGTTCTACTGTTTGGGATATTGTGATGTAATAAAGCATTGTGATGTAATAAAGCATATGTAAGCCGATCCACAGGTCAGTTTACCCTTTCCTGTATTCCCATCCTTTCTCAGGTTAAAAATCTGACTGCCATTTCTCAATGTTTTTTATTTATATATTCTAAAATCTTATTTATGACGTGCTAACAAGTGGTGCTTACCCAGTTTCATGCCATTCACTTACTTGTTAACTCCACCATAGCTTTTCTATGTGTGTTCTCCAGTTCAGCCTTCTGCTTCACAGTGTCTAACTTCAGCTGCAACAACTCAGCTTTGTGCCGCTGTTCAGAGTCTGCAAGCTGTCCCTTCAGCTTCAGCTTTTCTTCCTCAAGGCTGCTAAGTTGCAGGGAAAGGTTGCCAACCTCTTGTCTGAACTTGCACACCGTCTGATCAAAAGCATCTCGTTGTGACTGGGCGCTCCTCAGCTTTGTCTCCAAGTTCCGCCTTAAGTCTTCAGCTGCTGCCATTTCTTCGGCATGCCTTTGCAATTGCACCTTCTGCTCAGCAAAAACAGCATCCTTGTCCCGTTTTGCATCTTTAGATTCTATTAGAGTATTCTTCATTTTTAACTGTAAATCTGCATATTCTCGCTGAAGTTTCAGCAATCGGCTCAGCACCTCGTGAGCACCTGTGGGGTTTTCTTGGGAATGAAGACGCTGCAGCTCAACTTGAAGTCTGTTGATCTAAGTATAAAGAGGCATTAGACAGCTGCAGTGGAGGTGGGCTGGAGCAAGCAGATGACATGGCATACCTCGGCCTTCTGTTTGAGTTTAAGCTCCTCTTCTGACCTTTGGTGGGCCCGTCTCTCATTCTCAAGTTGAGCTTTTAACATTGCATTTTCCCGGTTCGCTTCATGAAGCGACAGCCTTGCTTTTTCGTGGCTCAGCTGTTGCTGCTGAACATACTCAGCAAAGTTTGCCCGAACTTCCTCCTCTATTTCTGTCCGTAGTTTCCTACGATCCGTAGAGCTCAGCTGAAAGTGTAATTGCAATTATTCAACAAAATGCAAATGTCATTGTATTGACATTTTTTAGCACACTGACTATTTACAGATTTGGTCAACAATAGTTTATTGCAACGCTAGATATGGAGTAGAAGCTCTGCCTTTAGCGCAAGCATTCTACCTTCGATGGCACTCCAGTGAATGCTTAGCTAAACACGATGAAAGACAACGAGCTCTTGATGGAAGTAGTGTTTATCCTGCAGATCCCATGTTGCAACGGACTGTAGAGTACATTATATGAGAGACCGACACATAAGAGTAAGCAGTGGAGGCTCAGTTTGAAAACATCATTTTCAAACCTGTAATTTAGCAGAACAACTAATGGAGTTACATTCTTTCACCAGCAGATGGAGCGAGCGAACTCACTTCCAGGAATGAATGATATACCATTGCTAATGACGTCAAATTCGCTCTATTAGGATGAGTGTACCTGAACTCGGATTTCCTTGATGATAGCGTCTTTCTGAGTGATGACTTTGTCTGCTCTCTGTAGAATATTAGCATGGTTTGCTCGGACGTCCTGGATAGACTGCAGAGCATCTCTCAAGTCCTTCTGAAGCCTCACATAGTCCTCCTGCAAGCTGAAGTAATAACGGCATATTAATAACATTTATAATAAAAGCCCCCTGAAAAATAGCGTGGAAAGATGTGCACGTGAAGGCTTGATTTATGCATCAGATGCCACATAATTTTTGCAAGTATACCTGACGTGTGCAGCCTTTAACTTGTCCAAATCGGTGCGATGCTGCTGGCTGCTGCGCCTCTCGTCAGCTAGCATCACGCGAAGCTCTCCCACCGTTGGCTCCTGCGCCATCGTGTGATTTCATTAACTAATGTTTAAAGGTAAACCTGTGATTTGCGTTATGTCGTCCCCTACGTTAGCATTGGTCATCGCCAGTGGACGGATAGCTGGTGGCACGCGTTGTATCCACAACAAACATTCGTAACAACCGCTGGAAACGGGGCGCCCCCTGTGGAGTGGGGAGGCTCAAGTGCGCTCTGCGCCCTCTGCGCCCAAAAAAAGTAATACGTATTAAAAGAATAATCGTATCAACTTGATTTTGTCGGTCAGATCGAACACAATGAATAAATTTGAATATTTATGCATGGTAGCATTGTGTTTGTAAGAAACTTCAGAACAGAAGCGGAGGCAGCAGCTGGCAGCAGATCATGTGCGTGAAATTTGTGACGCCGTACTGGCTGTACTGCTACTGACAGCGCAACAAAGAACGCGCAGGAAAAAGTTATTTTTGGCCTTCAGTTTTACAGCACACACATTATGCTGACTAGCAGTCGGTAACGAGAAACATACTTGCGTATTTTCTAGCAGAAAACACGAGCGAATATCGCGAATATGTTGTTTTACGCGCACCATCTGCTCTGCGCACGGTTCGACACTTGTCAAACGCAGCTGGCATGTCGATGCATTTGCAGTGCGCAAATGGCCTAGAACCGCTGGTCTGCCCAGTCTGCCTCTCAAAGAAAACCCAAAGTAACTGGAATGTGTTTCCGTCTCAAGCAAACCGTTTTCCCGATGCGGGCTGCGGCCCCTACGACAGCATCCGGCGGTCCGGCTCCAGTCGATTAAAGTTCACGCCTGGCGGCATTGTCGAGAACTAGAGCGCGCAAGTTGATTAATTCTCCCGATCTCGGCTGAGCCCACGCAGAGGAGATCTCTCAAGGCCCGATCGTCGTAAAGTGGAGCGTGTGCCATGCTAACGCGTGAGATGCCCTGCCTCGGAATGTCACTCGGAGACGGCCTCGACTGAATTGACGTCAGAAACACATTTGGCAAAAGTGATCGCCAGCGGACTACGGCCGCGATGCCACGACGCCTGCAGCTGCTGTCATCCTCCCGAGTCTCACTTTGATGCCTGTCGTGAGCGCGACGCCTGAGGAGACTCCCAGCCCAGATGAAGGAGACCGAGCCCGGCGCGGGGACCACGAGCGTCGCCGCGCACGATGCCGACGTCGTCGGTCCAAGCAAGAAGCTCCCGAACGCCTGGGTGGTCTCCACTTGGATCGCCGTCAGCTTCATCGCCGTCCTGGTCGTGGCGCTGGCCATGCTCGCGCTGTGCCTCTTCCGAGTGAACGCTCTCGAAGGGAAAGTCGTCGGCCTCGAGGAGCGGATGTCCCAGCTGGAGGGCAGGGGACTTGAGGTGACCAAGGTCCTGTCGCCCACATATCTCGTGAGGCGGAGACGGCGGCGGCGAGACGTCGAGCCGAGCTGTTTGTGTCCGCCGGGACCCCCTGGACGTCGAGGGCGGCGTGGCCCCAAAGGTGACGTAGGAGAGCTGGGACCTCCGGGGCCGCCGGGACTCCCCGGGAAACCCGGCTTTCCGGGGGCCATCGGAATCGACGGCCCAAAGGGGGACACGGGCCCCATGGGTCTCCCCGGCGTCGCGGGACCCAAGGGGGACAAGGGCGAGGGCGTCGCCATCAGGTCGACCAAGGGCATGAAGAGGTCCGTGACGCGGCTGCACGGCGGGACCTTGGGCTACACTGAGGTCATTGCGATGAAGGGGGCTCCCGGAGAGCCCGGTCCACCCGGTCCGCCGGGGCTGCCGGGCTTTGACGGTCGCACGGGCCCCGCTGGTGAAATGGGGCTTCCGGGTCCGAAAGGGGACAAAGGCGACCACGGGTTTGTGGGGCTGCCGGGCGACCCCGGGATACCCGGCACGCCTGGCTCCAAGGGCAGCCCGGGAACCAATGGACGGAACGGCCTTCCCGGCGACAATGGGCGGGCCGGAACTCCCGGACTCCCCGGTCTTCCCGGGGACAAGGGAAGCAAGGGAGAGCCGGGTCCAGTCGTCACGACGGACGGCGTCACTGTGCCCACATCGTTCGTACAAGGACCGCCGGGTCCCCCGGGCCCGAAGGGAGACCCGGGAATCAAGGGCCCTGTCGGACCCAAGGGAGAGAAGGGTAAGAGAGGGCGCATAGGCGTATTTGGGACACCGGGGGAGAAAGGAGAACAGGGAGATGAAGGTGTAAAGGGAGATTTTGGCTTCCCAGGTGACAAAGGGGACAAGGGTGATTCGGGAGATCCGGGCCCTCCTGGCGAGACTGGTGGAATGGGGCCACCCGGGAACGATGGATTAATGGGCGAGATGGGTCCAGAGGGACCGCCAGGACTTCCGGGGCCTCGTGGCCTCAAGGGAGAAAAGGGCATCCAAGGGGATTACGGCCCAGCCGGACTCATGGGCCCTCCTGGGCTCTCCGGGCCACCCGGAAAGCAAGGTCCAAAGGGAGACAAGGGATATAAGGGGGATTCCTCGGTTGCAAAATATGCGAGGCACACGCTGTTGGGGAGCATGGAGGAACGAGATTTTTCGGGAGGCATGCCAGGACCCCCGGGGCTTCCGGGGGAGCCAGGGCTTCAGGGTCCGCCCGGCATCAAAGGGGCCACGGGAATGGATGGGCAGAAAGGGGAGCCAGGGCAAAAGGGAGACACGGGGAATTCGGGACCGCTGGGGCTACCGGGACCTGCGGGGTCCAAAGGGGATCCTGGAAAGCCAGGGTATGACGGCAGGCCAGGACTGGTTGGGGAAAGGGGAGACCCCGGACGTAAGGGAGACAAAGGGGAGCCCGGAATGTCTGGTCTGGATGGCTTGCCAGGACATCAGGGGGAGCCAGGTGTGCCGGGCCTTAGGGGAAAGCCTGGGAAGAAGGGGGACAAGGGAGATGCGGCATCACTTGGTGCCGAAGGTCCCTGTCCCCCTGGTCTAGACGGCCTTCTTGTTAAAGGGTGCTCCGGTGACCGCAAGGCAGACCCACTTGTTGCTGCGCCATCCCCAAGAGCATCGCTATTTGGTTAAGTGGGACTTTGTTCACTCGTGGGTCAGGGCAAGCATTCCAGTCTCAGCTCCACTGCATAGTAGCAGAAGCAAACCCCCTCTTGCAGTCCAACCACTTCAATCAAAAGTGTACAGATTGGAAGGAGCTATTTTATTGTGACCTCATTCCACTCATGGAACATGGTCAGTTCTATATTTGTGTTGAAGAGCAGCCTTTATCTCGAAATAGATTTTTCCTTCAAGGAGAAAACTTCTGCTCCAGACCTGGCAACTTGTGTTCAAATTAGGATTCTCCCAGGGTTCCTCTACAGATTGTTACTGCACCGCACAACTGTTGGCACAAACACAAGGTCAAACAGCCAGGCATGTAGCCAGGATTTTGATTCGGGGGGGCGGGGGGGGGGGGGGGGGCAGCGGCAGCGACAGCGACAGCCTATGACAAAACGCCGTATGAGGGGGAGGGGGGAGAGGAGGCCCCAGCAAGCAAAATGGAAGATTTCAGGGGGGGGTCTCTCCTTTCCCCTGGCTACATGCCTGCAAACAGCACTGTTTCACTTTGAAAGGGTGGCTGATCACTTTGAAAGGGTCTAGACGGGCACCAAAATTTACCACTGAGGTTAGTGGTCTGTATGAGCACTTCCTGCCACACTAGCAATCCTGATATTGCAGCCCTTCAATTTTAAGGAAAGAACAAAAAAAAAGTTGATCAGTTGTTTAAGCTAAGTGAAATGATATGTGTATGGTAGGCAAGTATAATCTTTTTTTTTTAGAGTTTTCGGGAGTAAATGAGTCCCATTGTTCAAAGAAATGTCTTTCTTTTCAAATGACATTTAAGTTGGATCTAGAATGGCTCCTAGAGCACGAGTGCCCTCAGACATGTGTGTTCAGTTCTGTAAAGCATCTGGCACCTTCATGCCAATCCTAGTTCACATTTCTCTCATGTTCACTTTGAAATCACAATCATTTACATGCTGCAGTCGGTGTATGTTGGTTCGTCCTTTATTCTACTTCCTCTCTGCTTGGGGTGCTGAATTGTCAGACTTTGTCACTGAACTTACAGGCTGGATTAACATTTCACTCTAGTCTCATACATTTGCTTCAATGCTCAATGAATCTCTCAAGCTCATAAGTTCCTCTTGTCTAGAGTATTAAGCGAATGCTGCAGCACTTACTTATCTCGCCGAAGCATGGCATGAATCTCCATGCAGCCCTTGCTACAGCCGAGGTTAGTTGTGCACCTTGAGCCATCGAGCATTGGTGTGGTGGTTCATTTTATTGCTTTCATACACATAGCTTCTGTGATGCCGTCCTAGCATTTCAAAGTATGCACTATTTCTGAACTGTTGAGTGCTCCTGGTTAAGTGCAGTGTCTTAAAATTGTGTAATACTCTTTGATTTTCTAAGCTTTGTCACATTAGACCACTAGTTGTTCTTTTGAGCCGCAAATTTAGCTGGGTGCAGTTTTTTTCCAATGCAGTAGCACAAAGCAGTTGACAAAGCAGCTGTGAGCAATAGGGAAATAGTACCTGTGCTGAAACTCTTGATCTCAGAAACACTTTACTACCACTGCTACCTTGTGAAGGAATTGTATCTCCTGCAACATTCCGCATACTCATGTTTGTACGCAGCAATACTCGTCAAGAATATTTATACTATAGTGCCAAATACTTGTGCTTTATACACCTATGGTCTTTATATTGTCCCAGTTTTGTTTATTTTACTTTCGTGGCTACAGCTTTTGAGCCCTTTTAAAATGTGCCTAGTATACATACTTTTCAGCATGTTTTTTCGTGCTTTTAGGTGGCTTTCCTTTTCTTTTACATTGTCAGAAGACATGTTTTACTATGTTTCTGGAGCCTGTGTAGAAATAAATAAAACCCACTATATAAACAAGTGCATGTTTGCTTATTCGTAAGTTGGCATTAAAATCGACTCGTCATTTCATGCCGTCAAAGGTCAAATGAGGCAACTACTGTCGAGACCGGTTATAACTAGGGTTCCGCGTCTTCAGTTTTTATTTTTTCGAAATTCGGCATACTTTTTTTGGTGTTTATTTTAAAATTCAATTTTCGGTGTATATTTATTCCAAAATAAATTCACCGTTTTTTTTCGGTGAATACAAAAGAAACACCATCGGACACCGGATCAGATGATCCTAGTAGCTGTAATATTTGTGATCACTCAAAGAATGACGACACATATACATACGTGGTCTTCGCTACAACTTCCATCAGGACACACCTCAAAATTGACGAATTCGCGGGAATAATCTTCAGCCACTTCTTTTTCCTCCCTATTCTGAAGACGTGACCGTTTGAGGTGACGACCGTACAGAAACCAGCAGAATGGCAAAAAAAAAATATCCATTGTATTTGTTTTTAACCAAAGGGACGTTTGAGAGGGGTGTTAAAAAAGGTAGTGACGGCTTTCCTCGATGTCCTCTGAAGTGCATGAAGCGAAAAAGCTTATACTAGCCGATATCCAAACTTTTGTTTTTGGGACTGCGAGCTTGACACATTAAGCTCAACCACATAAAGGACACAGATGTCCCTCGAAGGCCGATCCAAGACTTCTAGTGTTGCATGTTGAACCTTGGAAGAGGGCAGTCACGAAGACGTCACATAATGTCGAACCTTGCAAAGCCCTCTCTCTCCCTCTCTCCCCAACCCACCTCGACACAGCCCTAAACAACTGATTTTTCTCGGTTAAAACCGAATTTTAGAAAACAGATTAGATATATTTAGGGCTCCATGTTTTCGGAGTTTATTTTTCGTCAAATTCGGAGGGTGTTTTTCGCAGTTGATTTTTGCCGAAGATTCGGAGTTCATCGGAGTTTATATTTGTTTGACTCCCAATTCTCCGAAATTCTGAGTTTAATTTCGCAGTGTTTCCTATTGAAAATAAATATGTAAATAATAACCGGATGTAAACGTGTGCCAGATTAAAAATAAAACGCGTTTGTATCAATTAAAATTTTTTCAGTTGAATTTGACGTTAGTGCCATTGCCATTGGAAATATTAATTTGTCCCACGACAAATGTTCCACACAAGTGTTACTTCGATAAACGTCGATACCTTAAAATCAATAAACTCCCGGGGGCAGTCGCTACGAAGCTCGCAGTCATCCCACCCTATTCCATCAATGTAGCGCGGCCGCGCGAGGTGGAGTGGTTAGGGATGTAATAGAGAGTTTCAACTGTACCTTTTCTCTATTTAATACAGTCTCTATGGTCCATAACTTTCACTGTTACAAAAACATACCTTCTCCCAGGGGCGGATCCTGACCCCCCTCTTGATTTCTGCATGTGTAAAATTTAGGGCGTGAAACGAGGGAGACGGGGAGGGGGTTCCTGAACATATGGTATGCTGACCAACACCTGACACCCCCCCCCCCCCTCAGGAAATTCCTGCATCCGCCCCTGCCTTCTCCTTTCTCTAAATCACAAATCGCATGGCTCAAACTGGAAACCAAAAGAGTGGCTTTTGTCGCGACCCGAATGTACAATGACCTGTTGCCCTGAATCAACCTCGACGAGACAAGCGGCAAGACCCCTTTTGACAACGGTCTGAGATTTCAAAGATAATTATGGTGCCATTCTTCCAGGACCATTGACTCTGTGCTAATCAAATTGTAAAAAAAGAAAAAAAAAACTTTTTTTTTATGCAGGGGCACATAAACATTTGGAGTTAATCGGATAAATCCGAATTGACCAAAATTTTACCGGCGGGTGTTTTTCGGAGTTTTTCGGATTTATCCGAAAACACGGAGCCCTAGATATACCTTTATCGGTTTAAACCGAAAACCCCGAACCCTAGTTATAACGAAGTCGGTTACAACGAAATAGCGACTACAGTGAAGCAATAATGATTTCCCATTCCCTTTTGCACTTCGTTATAACTGACGTCGGTTTTAACGAAATAGCGGATATAGCGAAGTGGTTTCCGATTCCCATTGACTTCGTCGGTCTTGACAGTACTCCTTAGCGAATTTAAGAAATTTTCTCTAGTCACGCGCGCAAATAATGAAACAATCTTTCATGACAAAGACACACTAATGCAACGTGCACAGAATTATGAACTTGTTCTGGGAGAAAAATGTTCATTTGCAGAGAGGAGCAACAATAATGGTTAGGGTTTAGCCGTACAAGAAGTGCCTTGGAATTAAAGGGCGCCAATGTAGGGCAAGTAATTCTGTTACACACCAACTCGATTTTCCGATGCCATGCCACTGCACATGCGCAGACGCTTCACGCGAATCTGGTTTCTGCGCACGCAGTGCTCGCACCTGATGGGGGCAAATGTGCACTTGTTTGTAAACAGCATGTTGGTGTGTATAATGTCGGATATTTTTAGTAGTCCCCCAGCAGGGTGAGAACGGCCCGGCATCTCTTTCGGATGCCACGTTTTCCGACGTCCACATGTCGACTGTTGTCATGCTCTGACAGCGCGTACGTGCTCAAGGTTCGCGGGATGCCCAAGTGTTATTGAAGGACGGAAGCTTGCGCTGGACGCAGGACAACCGAAGCCCTTCCCCATTATTCGCATCCTGTTAGCGACTTGTAGCGAGGTTAAGCCTTCTCTAGGTAGGAATATAAAAAGTTTGCAAACATCATATAATGGCATACCCGATAAAAAGAACACCGGATAAAAAGAAATGTGGCTTTGTCCCAGCTGCTTAAGAGTTTGTCAAGGATGCGTGGTTATTTGCAGTGTTGTGAAGCACTTCAAGTAGGATTGGATAACTTTTAGTACTATACTTGAAATACATTCTCTCTGAATGTCTATGTTTACTTCACTTGAAGGTAATTTTTCCGGTCCTTTTCGAGGAAAGTACAACTTCCGACTTTAAAGTGGCGGTGCAACGATATTCAATTAGAATGTTTTTCACTTTACACGAGCTTACTGGCACTAGTGGGACTCAAGGATACTCGCACGCAACGCACTGACCAAGAAAATCCTTTGTTGTGCTGTAATTTCAAGGACAAAACCGAGTGTTTTCATTCAATCTCTCCTTCGCAAAACCTGATGACGTAGCTGGGCGGTAGCAGTACCGCCCAGTGACGATATTTGAATCAGGCTCATAGATTGGACCCGAGCATGGCATGGACACTCGATTTAGGCTCGTGATAATCGATAGCTCGAGAAGCATTCGGGTAGTGTTCTGTGTCCAATCGCTGCAATGACGACAACAGCCGAACCATAACAATGTCTGGAACTCAGCGCGTGTCCTGTGCCTTGCCAACCCCAGCGCGTGGCCATGATCAACATTGGCGGCATATAATCGGCTCCAGATCACGTGGCCGCTTGTTCTGGTTGCGAGTTGAGAGGATGAACTCTGCTCGTTTTTCTTTATTTTTTTCTGCGACTTCGATTGCATGTGGTGAAAAACCAACGGGTATTTCACAGGTCATTAACGTCAGGGATCCGTTCTAAGCGGTATTTGTGCAAAATAAAAAAAATCGTTGCATCGCCCCTTTAAGGTACATTCCTCCCAAATTTGGCCTTAATTTAAATTTGTATCTCGAGACAATGCTTCGTCAACTCCGATTAAAACAATGCAAAAAACAACCCCCCCCCCCCCCCCCAAAAAAAAAAGATTTTGTTGTCTGTGTTTTTCTTTATTTTGTCTCTCGTCCTTTGCACTGTTTTAATTCTCAAGTATGTTTAATACCCTTGGATGCAAGCCAGTGTAAGCAGCGCCAAATTCAGAAGTCGGAGAGACTTCTGAATTTGGCGTTGTCTCCGAAAATAACTCCTTTATGGCTGTTTGACTTTATCACATATTCGCTGCCATTTGCAAAAATAACTATGTACCCCAAGTTTCCCCTGGGGCAATGCATATCAGTTAAAAAAACAACAACAAAAAACACTATGTGAACAAAAAGGCATCCTGAAAGATTGTGTTAAAAAGTTGTATTTTACTTCAAGTACATTGGACCCAGTGTACTTACTGTACATAACCTCTCATTTACTTTATATTTTACTTCAAGTACTTTTTAGATGGACTTTACCCAACACTGCACATATGGGCACATGGAAGGAGAGCTTATGAAACAGTGAGCCTTACAAGCAATTTTCCATCTTTATTCGTCGTTCAGCGAGCTACAAAGGTGGGAAAGTGGAAACATTAATGTACAAATAAATAGTGTTCTGATAACACCGAGACTGATCTAACTGTGATCTATCAATAATAGAGATATAATATTGTGGGATACACTGCAATAGTGTGAGTAACCACAAATGTAAATGGCTTTTACGAAACAAGGTTCATCCCGGGAGGGACCTGTCAACAGGGAACTCTAATGCTAAAATGTTTATCAAGCAAACGGCAGATCAGTTCACTTTCTGAGCTTTGCATTACACATGGCATGCTCACTGTTTTGCTAAAAGGACATTTGGCTGAATGATAGCCCCACGTGATGGGTCTCACTCAGTCGGGCAAAAAGAGAATCCTGCAAGAAAGATATAGCAAAAAGAAAGGTTTAACAAAGTTGCAAACTCATAATCACCACACCTAAACAAAGTATGGTTGGGTATATTATGTTATACACAAGAAATGCAGCCTCGTGGCTGGTTTCGCAGGTACACACGACCATTAAAATGTGCATTGTGCAAACAAAGAGTTTAGACATGCCATCTCAAGACTGCACAGAGAGCAAAACAAAGTAGATCTGCTACGAATTCGGTTTAGCAAAGTGCCTCACCACCACACATACATTTTGGTAACACTTCTCAAGAAAAAACTGCAATAGCAGAGAAACGAATCTGGGTGCCTTTTTTTGAGAGGGTCGGCCCAGGTAGGGCCGCTTTCTTGGCAATGCCTAGTGCCTGAACTCTGACTCCGAGCCTCGGTCGGAGTCCTGGTCCACTTCCTCCTCCTCTCCCACGTGACCATCGTCCTCGCGCTGCCGCTTCCTTCCTCGGTACTGGCGTCCTGGGGCCCTGGCCACGGTCTGTTCAGCTTCTCCATGAACCAGGCTAGTCCTGTAAAGCTGCAGCGGCTGCCAATCGTCCGCCCGCGAGGCCGGCAGCTTGGCCTGCACGTGACGATCCAGGTACTGCAGCACCACCTTCTTGTCTTGTTTCATAAGCTTGTTGGTGAACTCGCAGAGAAGCTCCAGGAAGGGCAGGTTTGGCGGTGGACCCAGTGCGTTGTGCGGGTTCTCGAACGGAGTGCACGAGAATACAATGCCCTCTCGGTGCAACGCGGCCACAGAGTCCCTGTTCTTGACCTGGTCCAGGCCAAAGGAGAGGGCGAAGCGCTTGGCCAGTTCCTTGATGGCCAGGAAGCCCTCGTCCTGACGCGAGACGTTCCCCAGCCGGTCCCGCTCCAGCGTGTTGAAGAGCGACGTGAGCGACTGCACCATGGTGCGTGCACAGTTCACCTTGTTGATCTCACGGGCCTTGCCCAAGGTCGCCTTAATGATGTCCCCGTAGTCGTTGTAGAAACGAACGTAGTGCTTGAACACGTCTGCTGCTGGACGGACGCTTATGACGTTGTACACGACCAGCTTGCAGAACGAGGCCAAGAAGTTGCGCCTCTTGTGAAGCTCCTCTATCTTGCGGTGCTCGTCTTGCTCATCCTCGGCCGCTGTGTCGTCCTCCACGAAGACATTGTTCTGGATGAACTCGCTCAGGTTGGCTTGTAAGGAGCGGTCTGGCTCGAACACGAGTGCGCTGAAGGGCTCTCCTTCGCCCAGCTGGCGGCAGAAGATGATGAGTAGGTCGCAAATGGTGACAAAAGCTTCCTCTTGAAGGACTCCCGTGCAATGGCGCAGCATGTGGACCATTGTGTCCATGAACTCGCGCAAACGTGCCCTGAGGGCGTGGACGTGCACCATCTGGATGTTACCTTCATCTAAAACCGCCAGGTCCCACATGATGCCCGAGGAGCAGCACGAGATGGCATGGCGCACTCCTTCGAGCGAGAGCGTGCGTTCTCCGGCTCCCTTGACCCAGAACTCGAAGATACCTTCCCAGATGGTCCAGGGTCCCAGGTTGTGGCAGACGTAGAAGATGGAGACCTTCTTGAGTGCCGACTGCACGGCGTAGATGTCGTCGTCGTCCGCCTCCTCTCCGGCCTCTGCATAGGCCATCAGGGCATGCTTGTACCGACCGACCAGAGAGTCTACGAGGGTGCCACGTGACACGGCACACCGTGAGTGAACGGCCAATTCCTCACTGCAGAGGGCCTCGTACGTTCTGGCACAGGTCTCCAGCACCTCTGTGTCGTCGTGGCGCTCCACAATCTCCTGGATGAGCTTGAGCAGCGAGTCTAATGACTTCTCCTGGCGACTCGAAGTGTAGATTTCAAGGTCAAAGTACTGAGGTAGCACCATGAGGTTGGCTATCTTCTCCTGGTCGGCAATGTACTTGCTCAGCAGGCTGGGCAGGGCCTGGATGAAGTGCTCTGTCAGCTTCACCCGATCGTCGGCCACCTGTTTCATCTCCTTGTTGGACATCTGCTTGCGGTTGGGGCCTCTCCCCACAGGGGGCTCTCCCGTGGCCGCCTGCTTGGTGCAGCACACCATGATCTCAATCAGGGAAGTCTCCTGACGGTCGTCCAGCTGCTCTTCGTCTGGACCCGGTTCTTCGAGCAGCAGGTCGGTCATGCACTCCCAGTCCTTCATCATGGGGTTGCTTTCTATCAAGCTGTCAACGAGGTAAGCACCGTGCTCGTGCAGCTCGCTTTCGATGAAGAACTGCACCAGGTCACGGATCAAGGGAGTGTTCACCGAACGCTTCTTTCCCCTCCGCGTCCGCAGCCCCTGGACGGCCGCCTCGTCTGGCTGGAAGAGCCGCTCGTTGAGGAACTCTCCCGCAGCCTGAGCCACAGCTCGGTGGGAACTGTACACGAGCTCGTAAACGTGCTCACAGTCTTTGTCCGTCAGGATTTCCCGGTGAAACTTGTGGATGCTGATGACCAGCTTGGCAGCATGCACCGCAACCTCATATTCCTTGTCCAGGGTCATGGTGACGATGCGGTCCTTAAACTTGTTTGTAAAAAGCTCCATCTTGCTTGTCAGTTCTTCGGAGGCATACAAGGGCAGCAGGGCCTGCAGACAGCGCAGTCGGACATCTCCCACCTTGTCGTGTAGTGTCCATCCCAGGTACTTCAGGTAGCTGTCATCGAGGAAGTGTTGGTGGAACTTCTTCATCCACTGTCCAATCTCCAGCATGCAGATGGAACGCACCTCCGGTAAGGTGTCGCGGTAGCGATGCACAAAGACACTTTTGAACATGTAAGTGAGCATGTTTTTGATCTCCTCGGTATTTTCTTCTAAATCCTGACGCTTGGTCATAAGGAGCTCGAGGCGCTCTGTAGCTCGCTTGTCCTTGTTCTTCTGCCGCTCTGCTTCATACTGGCGCTGTGTGTTGTCCAGGCTGATGCTTAGGTTAAGCGCCACATCCACGAGTGCGGTCATCAGTTTCATTGCAGCCAGGGTAGAGGTGTGACGAAAAGCTCGTACCTGCGAGACATCCAATACACATTCTTAGCTTACGAGATGTTCGCTTAGTTATCACATATGTGCTCAATAGCCACACAAACCTGAAGTAAGTAAAAATCTGCTAACAAGAGACGCAACTGATAAATGAAAAAAGTGCCTCAGTTGCATCCACCAGTTTCTACATTTTCTCGCATGGCAGCATGTTCGACAGGTGTGTAGCAGCCGAGCTAGTGGTGCTACCGAAACAATACAAAAGAAGCCTGTCGGTACGAGCAGACAGGATTGGACACGACGAGCTTGGAGATTCAACGACTGAGCGGCTTCATCGAGTGATGTCCACTACAGTTTCCTTCCTTTTGTAAATATTGTGCATTAAATATGTTGGAACCAGGACCACAGCACCCAAGATATCCTATGTTGGGTGACATATTGGGACGTTGAGATACAGCTTTCCTGGACCGACTAAAGCCAGCTTTCACTACAGCCCTCGACACTACTACACCCCTGTGTCGCAGAACAGCTCTCCAACTTACTTTACATTTACAACGCAAATGGCCCGGGCCACTTGTCCAAGGGGGGCATCTGTAGCAGCCAAGCTAGTGGTACTACCGAAATGATAAAAAAGAAGCTTGTCGGCGTGAGCAGACAGCACGGGACACCACGAGCATGGAGATTCGGCGACCAAGCGGCCCGGGGGCTACAACAAGTGATGTCCACTACCGTTTCCTTCCTTTTGTAGATATCGTACACAAAAAGGAGTAAGTAATTCAGCGTGTTTTCTGTGCTATGTTTATCCATTCTAGGCTCTTTTGTTTTGGGAGATTAAGAGAAGACATTAGAGCAGCTCAGAATGCTGAGACCTTGAACCTTATGTCAAGAGCTGCATAACACTGTGTACCACAGGGACAAGGGATGGAGAATAACTACAAACATCTTTCAATGGAAGTTGTCGTTGTTGTCCGTCCCTTCCTCACATTCAGTACCCTTAACAACATGCTCGTCCTTTACGTACCACAGCACTCACGTGAGAAAGGGAGATAGTGCATGTCCTACCTTGTTAGCTCACACTATTTGTGCTATTTTATTCGTAGTGAAATGCACCAACCAGCTTAGCAACATGCTTTACAAAGAGAAAAATAAAAATGTACGCCACCACAAGGTGCTTCTAACCTGAGAGTCTGACAAGCCCGTCAGGATGGAGATGAGGTTGTCCATGAGAAACTGGTCGTAGATGATGCTGTACTGGCACTGGCGGACCAGCACCTGCACGAACTCGCAGAAGCTCTGCCGAAACTTCTTCCACTGTGGTCCGGCCATGATGAGCGGGTAGTCCCCGCTGTCCTCGTCGAATTCCTCGGTCATCTTGCGTATGATTTGCGTGTGCTCCATGGTCACTTGCATCTGGGGCGTGATGCGACCCTTGCAGCCCGAGCAGTGGAAGAAGAACGTCATTAAATCCAGCAGAGCCGCGTCTTTGTCCTGCTTGTATGACTCAATCCAGTCATCCACGACGGCCGTCAGCGAATGACGGCCCTGCTTGACGATCTCGTACAGGCTGCTCGGGTCTTCGCTCGTGATGCCCTCGGAGGAGACGTTGCGCCTCGCACCCCGGCCTCTCCCGCCGCCTCGACCTCGGCCGCGGCCGCGTCCGCCTTCGCCAACACGACGACGCTTGCCTCGAGCTCGAGCACCAAACTCGACCTCGGAGGAATTGTCGTTGGATTCGTTGAGGCCGTCGTCCAGATCCAAGAAGAAGTCGTCGGGATCGAGGCCGGAGTGGTCGGTGCCATCGTCTTCGCTCTGTCGGGTTCGCTTTCGGCCCGCGATGGCGTTACGGAGGATCATAGTCGGTGGAGGCCGACTCGGCCTTCAATTTCGGGCTCGAAAAAGTGGTCGAACTTCGAACTATCTTTTAAACGGTCGAAAACAACGTCTACAACATTTGAGCGGGAAATCAGGGAAATCGCGAAATCTCGCACACAGGCAAGGCAAGCTAGGCGAGCAGCCGAGCAGCGTCCTTTTTGCGATGGCGATTCCGCCAACTCCGCACTTCCCGCTTCCCTTTTTGCGTTTTTGCCATCACTCTTTCGGCTAATTTATTAAAATGGTAAATGTAAGTGTACATTATCATAAGTAACACATAGTATTTACCTTGAACTTAATAATAGTGAGTAATTTGTATTGCTTTGAAGAACGAAATGCCTTAATTTCGTTGGTTTGTTTTTTTTGCCGTCGACGCCGACCGCAGGCGACGCAAGGCCATAATGATCATCATGAGCGCGCTGGCTGGCTGGCTGCTGCAAATGAATGACGCGCGGCCTGCGACTCGCTTCTCTTGTTGGGCCACGTCTGGCCGGTTTGCCGTCCATCGCCAAAGGCGAAGTCCTAAGATATAGTCCTGTAAGTACGCTTGCTCTTCTCGGGCCCTTCAAGTATTTTTAATAGGTGTTGAATGATGGTCAGAAGCGCCCTGCACCCTCAAGGTGCTGGGGTCACTTTTCTCTTGTCTCCGCATCCCCCCTTTTTTCTTTTTTTAATCCAAACCCCGAAGTGCGGTCCCGTTTATCAGCTTTACAATATAACCGTACGATTCCTTTTGTCTTCGTCTTTACTGTTCGTAGTTAGAACCCTGTAAGCCGAAACCTCGAGTGTTGCTTCGCGGAGGTAAATGTTTAGCCCAACCACGTGTTCGTCCCAAATGATTGCGTAGTCGCGAGGCGGATAGCGTATCGGTGAAAAATGATCTGGGCCATCCGGTGCTTGACATGGCAGCCGCAGGCACAGTCGACAACAAATGACACCGATCTCACACGACAAACAACGATCTACAGGCTGTCCTGCCTGGAGTGCTATTCCGACGTGAGAAAAATGCGCATAAGTCGTTAAATAACAGTCAAACTTTCCACAATTGCGTCCTTAGGTGGCGCATTTATTCTACTCAAATGTTGCGAACGTAGGTATCCGGAAAAGTAAGTGGAAGAATGCAAAAAACTTGCTGTTCATGCTCAGGGAGAAAATGGTAAACGAATTATGACACTGCTACTCAGAACAACGCCACTTCGAACAAAAATTAGGAAGTTTCTTCGAGAGGGACATCTGAAAGCAGGTTCGTACTTGTGAGGTGTGATCTGTGAGTAGCAGTGTGAACCACACTGTTTGTTTCCGGTTTTCTTGTACAGGAATGGCAAGCTTTTCTTTTCTTGAATTTTTCCCCCGAAGCCTACATTTTTAAACTTTGAACATGATAGATGCATCATCTAAAGACACCTGTGGGAAAAATTTAATTGCACTCTATTCATTGCCTCGCTCACAATCTTTTTTTTTTTTACATTGGTATGCAGAGTCAAGTTCATCTACTTCTTGCACAGGGGTTACAATGATTTCAGAATGCCGAGCTCTTATTGGCTGTTTAAAAAAAAATGGTGGGTAGACCTCAAGGCATCTGGCATTCAGGTCTACCCACTGTCCTTTCAATCAAAGCCAATTAAAGCTCGGCATCGTTCTGACGCCACTGCAACTCCTGCGCAAAAAGCAGACGACTTGCTCTCCGCATAGCACCGTGAAGACACCTGTAGTTGGGCATTTGGTCTACCAAAGGTGAATCATCCTCAATGTATGCCTTACACCTCACATGTTTGAACCAGTGTCAGTGACAAACGTGTTTGTTAATAAGGATGTTTCAGACAGGTTACAAACGTATTGAAGTGTTAAAGGGAAGATAAAACCCTTTTTTAAAAAAAAAGAGATAGAGCTTGATTCTAGCGTAGTTTTATCCCGTGAATCTGAGTATCACGTTTGTTTTCCCTGAAGATGTAACTAAACAGGAGAAAATATGAAAAACCTCCAACCAGTCATGACGTCATAAGAGAATCTTTCGGCCGCCAAGCACATGTTGCTCGAGGGCCGTGCGTGCAATCGCAAGCTTGCCAGTTATATTACCCCTCACTGGCACCATTCGTGATGTCTTTTTCTACCCTTTTTAAAAATAGCAAGAGCGTGTGTGCATATCTTTAATAGGTACTGAAGATGCGTGAGAACAGAGATTCCGAAGACTCCTTTTGTGACGTCACATTCTGGGAAGGAGGGCCTTCAGCAGTACTTTGAAAATGATTTTCTGCAGCCTCCATGCACCAAATTAAAAAATAATTTCGATATTCGTGGTCCTGGAGGTCAAATGAAAATGATTTAAAATGTGTTTCTTCAAATACCAAACCGCTTTAGCTTCTCTTTAGGTCTATTCCTTAAAATTATCCCATGTCTGTTCAAACCAATGTTTCCGTTTCTAAGCTTGACTTAACGAGATTTTTGGTTCCTTCTTACAAAAACAGGCGTGAGACTTTGTGCAACTGAACAACATTAAGCCACCCCTCCCAATCTCCAGCCCCCAGTGGCGGCCATGAAGTACATCCTGGTGACTGGTGGCGTCATCAGCGGCATTGGCAAAGGGGTGATTGCCAGCAGTACTGGGACAATTCTCAAGGCGTGTGGGCTCCAAGTGACCTCTATTAAGATTGACCCATACATCAACATTGATGCCGGGACCTTCTCACCCTATGAGCACGGTTGGTGCCGTTTGCTTCTCTTCGTTTGAAATTATAGTCGCCATTCCCAAGACTTAGTGTAGAGAGTGCATCGGTATTCCAATTATTGGATATCCCAGCTCAACATTTACTTGTTTGATATCAGCTAGACTGTAGAGGAGCGTATGCTAAGCCGGGTACAATGTATTCACTACTCGATCAAAATTTTATTGAGTATCTTACAAAAGGAATTGTGCAAAATAGTGAAAACAAGGGCTCCTCACAATGGCAAAAGCAGTAGTACCATTGTCAAGTTTCCAGTGGGAAACCTAAATATTTGAGACTGGTCTTCAGGTGTGTGCCCACTGCCATATTTGCTCTTGTTTCTTTTTGTTGTGTACTGATGGCATCATTTTATGCTGCCTAGGAGTTTGCTAGCTCTTAAAAGAGCTGTGCAACTATTTCAGTGCTTTGTTTAAATAATTTGGGAGTTGGTGTCTCGACCTTTCTGAAGTAAAGAACAAAAAACCGCTTTTGCCTGCATATCCTAGTTTTTATTTTAAAAATTGACACAGGTTGAGGTTTTTGGCACCTCTCAACTCCTTCATCTTCCGAGTCACGTGCGCTGTGATGTGAAAGGAGAACGCGCGGGGTTCTGGTGAAGCTCTTTCTCTCTCGAGCCATCAGTGAGCAGCGAGAACTCACCTGCTCACGACCACGTGACCGCGTGCTTGCGCAGCGCAATCGCTGATGGCGAAAGGAGGAACGTCTCGCCTGGGTCCGGCCATCCTCCTCCGGCTCTGCCCCTGTCCCCTGCTACCGGTTTTGTTGACCTCGGATAGATGGCGCCACTAAAACTCCATATAATAAAAGTTCTGTCGATGATACCACGTTTCTGACACATTTATATTTATGTTGAAACAACAAGATTTATTTGAAAAATTACCTGTTATCGAGCAGGTATTTTATAATTTGCTATCTTTTTAGAAGTCCCCCTTTGACGTCACGCTGCGTGTTTCTCGTGGCCGCCCCTCGCGGCTGCAGGTTAGGAAATATTATAATTTTTGCCTCACGATTACGCGGCAGTACCGCAACATTTCAAAGGAAGGAGATGTGTTTTCTGTCCTTTGTGACAAGATAAACAATGTCAAAAGCAGAAGATGCAAATTCTTTCAACATGCAAATCATTGCACAGCTCCTTTAACATTGTGAATAGCAGACATTTTAAGGCAGATACAACAAGTTCCCATCTGTCATTTCACTGGCAAAGGCAGGTCTGACGGACTGTACAGGGAGTGTCAGGTTAATGGACATGACATTGAAGGAGTGTACTTTACATACTGGGTTAGATACGACATAAGAAAGACAGTGCAAGGGGGAAGAGGGCGGATACTAGGAAAGCTGAAGTGGAGAAGAACGACATCTTTTCCACAACGGCTTCTCTTTGGCGGGTTCGAATCCCGATCGAGGTGCCCGCAATATGACGGAGGCTTATTGCGGAGAAGGCGCCGTGTAACCGAGCTTTCGGTTGCACGTCAAAAGATCCCCAGGTGGTCGAAATTAATCCTCAGTCCTCTGCTGGGGCGTGCCAGATGCCCGTCGTAGGTTTGGCACGTAAAACTCCCAAATTTGACAACGGCTTCTCTTGTGTGCGCCCTTTTTCCTTTTGCACTGTCTTTCTTATGTTGTATCTGACTATAATGCAATGGCGTCACTAGCGTGACCAGCACCCAGGGCAGGATTTAGTTGCGTAGATGAAAACGACCGTTGCTTGTTGGCCATTGCTGCATTGTTCACTTTAATGCCACAGTGCACAACACTGTGCCACCCCTGGCTGGTAGTCATCAGAAGACACACAAGCACAGAAGGCAGGGGTGCTGGCTGTTTGATAAGATATTAGAGAGCCTAGATTTAAGAGAGGCAGCAACTCAAACCATGAAGAGTGTCGGAAATCTAATATTTTGATGGCATGTGCATTACATTGTCATGTGGCAAGGAGGAAAGCAGGCTGAGATGATTGCAGCCAATTAACCCTTTCATCCCCTCCTTGCAGCTCATTGCAAACGCAGCCCCTGAACTACGTGACTCTGATCGGGCATTTGTAAACATTCTGGAACCTAGGCACACTATATGATATACATAACATGCAAGAGGAAACAATACAGCAACACTCGTTTATCTATGTAACCAAATCATAATAATAAACCTATCATGTTTTGTGTTTCAGGTGAAGTCTATGTGCTTGATGATGGTGGCGAGGTAGACCTTGACCTGGGAAACTACGAGCGGTTTCTGGACATCACCCTGCACAGGGACAACAACATCACAACTGGCAAAATTTACCAGCACGTCATCAACAAGGAGCGCAGGGGCGATTACCTTGGAAAGACTGTACAGGTGGGAAATCTTTCCTTCTTTGGTGACCTCAGTGCCATCCACAGTATGGTCACTGCAATGTTGGAAATGACAAAGTGCATCTTTCAAAGGTCCTACTCACCGTGCCAGCTTTCTGCCTGCCTCCACTGCTACCTTGGCTGTGCAGACACAAATAAAGCTTACAAGATACCTGAGTGACAATGAAAACAGTGAGCTTATGTATTGAAGGCAGACCAACTAGTTGCATTGTAGTCCTATGCTCAGGGATGACTTTCTTTGGCAAGTTAGATCTGAAAAGTGCCCCCATTGTTGCCTGGGTGAGTTGCCCCATGTATCGAGCACAGTGATGTGATTGCTGCTCCAATTGTGCCAAACTGCGCCAAGGGGCAAACCCTGATACTTCCTGCAACATTTTGCTAAGATATGGGCAATCTGCGCCAAGCCTGTGCCAAAGGGCCAATTTCGGTTGCCTTTCAAAACTGAAACTAAACTGAGTACCTTATTTGATCATGCATGAGCTACTTGGCGAAAGCGGCCGCACGACACAAAGTATCCTGCATCAGTCGTCCGTCCGGTCTTGCATGGTTTTTCCTGCCGTCTCTCGTTTCGCGCTCTCGTCGTCTCGTAAGTCTCATCTCGCCTCTTTTTAAAATTTTTGCAACAATACACGCTAACGTGTGCAGACGCTCCGACACTAGCTTGCCAGCCATGCCATGATGTCGTGTTGTATGTGTATGCATATATGTATATATTTCTGGCGGCAATTGCTCTTTTTAACGAGTATCTATAGAATAGACATGCCAATAAAGAAAAAAAGATCAAGAGAAAGATAATGAAAATAAAAGGAACTAGAAAGTCAGAAATGGTTCGTAGTCACTCTGAAATATCCCGAGTGGACTTTCCACCATGCCTCAAGCCTGCTCTTTGAGCACATCACATGTTTGTTCTCCTCCGTAAAGCCAAGGACCTGCTCAATGCGGGTGCCGACGTCTGTCGCAACATCTGTTGCACGGCGGGAGTTACTTTGTGAGCTGAAGCACTTGCTCCTGAAAGCAACGGCCGTGGGAAAACTATATTTGGCCCGTGCCTTCCAGCCACTGTGGTCGCACGACGTCTGGTGTTGTCATCCCCACGTCGCTGCAGATATGACGTTTTCTAAACTGAAACATAAAGACTGCCGCAAGGTCATCAACATTCTTGTTCTTGTTTAAATCATACGCTACTGCAAAAATCCCTCTTTAACTCAGACTGCTGTGTTGAAGTATTGATTACCTAGGTTTTTCTCGGTGGGCTTTCTTTCGAGAGGGACACCGGTACATGAAAAATCTGTTGCAAAAGAAAAAAGTTAGTGAAGAGAAGTGAATTAAAGCAAAGAAGGCAATATCTGCACTTTGAACCCAGACAGCATGCTTGTTTGTCTCGAATTCAGTCGTTGCACAAAGCGCTCCAGAACTTTTTGACCCTGGCTCGCTATGTCTTGCATCGATGCGCTCAGGTTCTTTTTTTCTGCTTGTTTATCTCACCTGCCGGCCTGGTAAGCACGCGCTGCTAGACTTTTTTTTGGTCGTATGCTGGACAGTTGCATTTTGCATACAATTGTGGGAATCAGTTGGCGACGGAGCGGAGTAGCATGGTTTCGGTTTCGGTCAAACAGACGTCTCCGCTTGTGCGACGAAGCAGGTGCAGCTGCGAGCTGCAGTAAGACCTCATTAATTCGGATCTCATGGGACCTGCAAAAATGTCCGAATTATCCGAAAGTCGAACTATCGAAAGGACAAAAGAAAAACTGTGCGAAAAAGTTTCCCTGTGACATACCTTTATTTTAAGAAGAAATCTGTTATTACCGCTCGCTTTCTGGACGACACTTGGGCGGAGACGGCAACTTTCCTAAGTGCGGTCGAGTGCTCCACCACACTCGCACTGTCGGAGCTACGCATCCCATGCGCTGACGATTTCGCACAGCAAGGCCTCTTCTAGTTTCGGGCGCACCAACTTCTACGGCCGCTTTTTTTTTTCGCGCTGAACTTCTCGCTCTCAAAAGCCTGTAGGATATTGGCCTCAATTTTCGTGTACGTCGCCAGACTGCTTCTTTTGTTGTCGTAACTTTCCATCACTTGTCGAGAGACGCCGTCCTTCAAGGCCCTCAGTATTTCCGCTTTCGTCGCTAAATTCTTAGCAACAGAAAACGAGTAGCACATTTGACCAATCATCGGAGCGGCAAAATCGCGACACCTGACACTATTTTTCCCGAGCGCGCCGATAGCGAGAGTGCCAGTCACATTGCATTTTTCAACGCCAGGGGGGACGGCGAAAAATTGAGGGATAAGAGAGCTGTTAAAATGGCGGGCTTTAGGATCCCCGCGTTGAGGCATGAAACATGACGGCCACTCTTGCTATTGACGCGCTCGGGAACATTAGCCCCTCGTGTCACGATTTTGCCATTCCGGTCGTCGGTCACTTGCGCTACCCTTTTTCCGTTGCAGCCACGGTGGTTGCAGCTATGCTTCTGCCGCTTCCATACCAGGAGAGTAGCGCGCTAAAGCACGGCAATCCAGAGCGAAACTGGTGCGAAACACTGAGAGCCGGAAGAGCGAAGAATTGTGGGGAAACCGGAGAAACCACGTGTGCACCTCGGATGGATAGCGGTCATACACATTGGAACGTATGGTAGCTCGCGCCACCTCCTGCATTCGTCCGTATTAACCTGAGGGCGCCGCATTCTCTCCGAATTAATGAGCGTTTGCTGCCATTGACTAATACATACGTTTGACGGGACCGGATCGGCAGTTTGAATAATCCGAATTTCCGAATTAGCGGGGGTTGAATTAATGAGGTTTTACTGTACCGAAGTTCCCCTCACGTGACTGCGAACATGATTGCACGACAGAGGCACCAGCTGAAACGCTTGCAATCCATTGCTTTATGTTTGCTTATTTTTGATGAAAATCTGGCTCATCGGGAACCAGTAAAACGGTGGCAAGCGGTTCTTCGGAATTGTTCGGCAACACTTACAGCACTGTACGCATGTTGTATGTCTCAGTGTCTGTTTGGAGATATTGAAAGTGGAAACTCCTTACTTGCCGAAGGCAAAGCGAGGCTTGCAGCAGCCTTACAAAAAGTTTCGAAATGCAAATAGAAAATCACCCGCTAGTTGTAATGCACCTTTTTCTTGTGTACAATTTCGCATTGCACTGCAGTAGTTACATGTTTCATCAGTTGGAGACTGCTTCAATTTATTATATAACTAGTCAACTTTCTGCTCTGATATTTACTACTAAGCTGGTAATTTGAAATAAATTTTAATATGTGCAGTTTGTTTCTTATTTATTTATGGCAGGTACATACAAATGTATTTAACTAAAGCGTTGCAAAATGTGTGATGTTATTGGCATTTTAGTTACATGTTGAAAGACTCCCAACCTGTCAACTTGACCACAGTTTGTTTATTTTGGCAAGCAAAGTGCTCTTCAGTTGTCTAGCACTTAAAACAAATATTTTTATTTTTCTAAGAATATCTGCTCCGAAAGCCACTTTTGCTGCCCCAAAACACTGTTTCGGCTGCTCCAAAGGACACTTTTAGGGGCGAAGCTCCTTGTCCGTCCGGCGTCCGTGCTCACATCGATCTTGCTGGTGCTCGTGCTCGTGAGCTCACATGCTCACGTGCTCACGTAGGGCAAAAAAAAAATGTTTGTGCAGTTGACAGGATTCAAACCTCTGCGGGGAGACCCCAATGTATTTCTAGTAGTGATGCAAAACTATAGATAAATTGACTATCGATACTATCGATAGTTTTTCCAAAACTATCGATAGTATCCCAGAACTATCGATAGTCGACTATCGATAGTTTTTCGATAGTCGACTATCGATAGTACTATCGATAGTCGACTATCGATGGTTTTTTACTATACTGGCGACTAACGATACTATCGCTAGTGCTATCGATAGTCTTGCACCACTATAGTCCGTTACAACTCAAGAAGGCAGGTCGAGAGTAAGATGGGCCGGGGAGGAGGAAGCAGACGGAACGCTAAAGAGAGAAGGAGGTTTCCCCCTCTCTTCTCCAGCGGTTCGTCTGCTTCCTCCTCCCCGGCCCGTCTTGCCCTCGCCCTACCGTTCGCCTCCCCCTTCTTCTTTTTTCGCCCTAACCCCCATCTTCGTCATCACTGAAAGCTGAACCGAAGTTGAGATGGTAAGTGCCTGGGCTAGTTGGTGCCCCGTTTGAAAAAAAAATTAAAGCGATAAATAGACAAGAGGGAGCGACGCAAACTACTAGTGTCGCAAAACTATCCATAGTAAACTGTCGACAGTACTATTGATAGGTTTACGATAGTCGACTATCGATAGTTTTCCGATAGTCGATTAACGATAGTTTTCTGATAGTCGACTATCGATAGTTTTTCGATAGTCGACTATCAGTACTATCGATTGTTTTTCGATAGTCGACTATCGATTGTTTTTCGACTATCGATTGTTTTTCGATAGTCGACTATCGATAGTTTTTCGATAGTCGACTATCGATTGTTTTTCGATAGTCGACTATCGATAGTACTATCTATTCTTTTTCGATAGTCGACTATCGATAGTACTATCGATAGTTTTTCGATAGTCGACTATCGATAGTACTATCGATAGTTTTTTTCACTATCGATAGTCAGATTTTTGGCGACTATCGATACTATCGATAGTACTATCGATAGTTTTGCACCACTAATTTCTAGTCTATCGCCTTAACCACTCGGCCACGACTGCGGGACAAGTAGGGGGCTCTAAGATGTGGTAGTAACTCAAGAGCTCGGGATGTCATGGATGAAACGTTGCATGTAGCCGCTGAACATCTATACAGGAGAGGGCACTGTGGTCAAATGCGTTTATAATCGCAATAAACTTTGCATGCATTAGCTCAACGTTCATAGATGAGAAGGCGCTGCGGTCAAATGCTCAAATGCGTATATAACCACGTTCCATACCACACATTCTCTTTCTGACATGGATGATAACGAACGAAAGGCACGGCGTGCTGCGGCTCAGCGTCTTCGCAGACAAGCACCACCAGAGCTTCGCCCCAATCAACATCATTCACCACGTGGAGATGCGGTCAATTTTTCCGCTCCAAAACACTGCTTTGGCTGCTCCGAAAGGTGCTCCAAAACGGCTTCGGCCAATCACATCACTGCGAGCAGATGTGGCATTACAGCTCTATTTCCAATGAAACTAGTATTAAAGATAGCCTGGTGAAACTGAACTCATTGCCACAGGGGGTAGTTCACATCTCTGAGGACAGCTCAGAACTGGATAGGGAGGCCGGCAGGAAGAACCTTGCACAGCACCGGTATCTTGGGCATGTTGCTTGCTCTTCCCTTCATTTTGCTTTGCAGTGAGTTTGTAGAAATATGGAAGGCTGTGTCTGAAAAGAAAACACTAGAAGTTTAACAAGGAAGCAGTGGCTATGGTGTCTCGGGTGACAGTCATGGGGGCTATCATTGGCAAGAAATAAGCTCTGAATAAATAAATACAACTTTAAAGGCATCTGAAACGTTTAAAAAATCACTTATTTTGTTTAATACAATGAGCTAGAATATGATGTGTCAAGTTCTTTTAGCGTTGTATCCAGTTGTCGTTAATAATAATATCAATAATAATAATAATCTTTATTAGCGAAACTGAGGTACTCTGGGTGGCTCTCAAGGCTAGGCAGATAGGCGGGGGCCCGTATGCGAGCGTCTGCTAGCTAGCCACCCAAAAGATACAGAATTATACGAAGGCTGATTTGGGGTTAAAATAAATACTACATAGTTTTATTTAACTTGGTTACAAGATATTAAGCTGGATTAGGTATACACTTTGTAGGGGAGAACGGGCACTCCCATCCGTATCACGTGCTGTCTCGGGGTCGTCTGTTACAAAGGGGCTTCTCCTCGGTGAGCTACAACCCGACGCCTTGCTCCTCTCGTCTCGAAATTTGCCTGGGTAGCGTAAAAAAAGGGGGGGGGGGGGGGGGGCAATTTTGGTGCTTTGCGGAAGTGCAATGGTAAAGCCGTGCCTGGACGAAAAATTTGGCGGTTTGTCTAGGCCTGATCGGTGATTCACGCAGCAGGCTGTGGTGCCACTGACAGGTGTCAGGACACATCCCACCTAAATTTATTTGCTGAGATAGTCAAACAGAGTCAGGCTGAAACCAAGCCCATGAAACGACTAATATAAGTCAGACCGAAACCTAGTACGGGATATGGCCTATGGGACCATACTGTAGACCTCCAAATCACTTTTTAGTCCACATATTGTTTCAAAAACCATAAAAAAAAATGTTTACATATTTTTTTAAAAATTATTATTGAATATGTGGCTTGGTTCTGTATTTAATTTATGAAAGTTGTTGAGGCCGTGGACTTCTCAAGTATTTTGAGTTCTGTGTTGCCATGCATCTGACTGCAGAAAAAGGAGGAGGGTAGCCTTGAGCAGCCGATTCTCACTAGCGATTTGTGAGAAAATACAGATTCCTCTGCGCAAACAATATCCTTTGATGGGACTCACAAGTCAATTTTATTGCAAATTAGAATTTTAATCTCCCGAGCAAAATTTCTTGCATATGGAATATGAGCCCATCCAGTACTTGAGCGTTCTAACATTGTCTGGCTTGTGCATTAAGTCTTCAGTACCAAAATCCAAAAGTATTCAAATGCTGTTTGTTAAATTGATTTGTAATAAAAATAAATACAGTGCAATCCACTTATATAGATACCAGATATAACAATGTACTGCTTATAACAATCAGTTTTTAGACTAGAAATGCTTAGTTTCTAGTCCAGATACAACGATAATCGGTTATAACGATTGAATTTTTTTGTTTTTCTCATTGTCGTTATAAATGGATTGCTCTACTGAATTCACCTTAGCAGTAGAATGGATGCTTGGGCATAATGAATTCAGCTGGATTTTTATGAACTAAGCCAGGCCTGTTTATTGCCCACATGCCATTTTTGCATCATCATAAAACTCCACTTTTGAAATGCCATATGTGTCATTAAATTACAAGGCTAATTTTTTTTTTTATCTGCGTTATTTGCAGTCTTATAGCAGCCTTCAGAACTTGAAAACTTGGTCCTTAAAATGATTCCATTACAGTTCAGTGTCGTGCCTAAATTAACTATTATTCATCTTGTGCCCATCAATCATCATGTTTCAAAAACAGCTGTTGCAGCAAAATTTAAGTCAAAACAATGACCCTTGTCACAGCCTTGTTTTGGGTATTGTTGTTTTTAAGCACAACTAAACAGTTGTTGAGAGTTTGAAGAAATCAATTCAGATGTGCAGTAAATGCTAAGGAGGGGTTGTACAGGAGGAGGAATGCAAAGAATGCATTATCTTTTAGCTAAACAGGGCAACACATGAATCTGAACATGATATTCACGAGGGAATGATTCAAAATAAAGCACTTGCGTGCCTGTGACCCAAAAGTTATTTTTGCTGGTCCAAAATGAACTTTTAACTCGGACCAGTCACGTCACTGCAGTCTGTCATATTCCCAGAAATAGGAATAGTAGTTTCTAGAATAAACAAGTAGAAAAATCAAATTTAAAACATCAGTATGCTGATTTTGTTTGGTTGAGAGGATTTGCTATTTTAATAAAATACTGCCTACATCTAATGCAAATCTTGTACAGAGGTGATCTTTCAAATCTTAGGCTTTGCAGAGAACGTCAGAATGCTTGCCCCATTTTACTACTTTTCTTTATTTTAACCGTTTCAAACAAATAATTGCCCCAAACACCAGCTTGGTGACAACTTTGTACTGATTATTTTGCAAATGACTGTGCTGCTGTGGTATGCGCATTGGTCAATTCAAAGAGGTGAGACGATGGTTTAGGCTAGAATGAAAGAAAACCTAATGTGAAAGTTCTCTGGCTGTGCAAACTTGGCAAGATAGAGAGGCTTCTTAGTGGGAGGGACCAAGCAAGATCAGTTCAGGTATCTTGTTTTGGGGATAAGTTCATTCTTTTCATTGTTCGACAGGTGGTACCTCACATCACAGATGCCATTCAGGAGTGGGTGGAAAGGGTGGCCCGCATTCCAGTTGGAGAGTCTGCCCAAACACCAGAAGTCTGCATCATCGAGGTATTGCCTTGCACCAACTGTTTCTTTATTCTTTTCAAAAGCATAGTACTAGTTTTGTTTAGAGGTGTTTTTGTTAGTACAGTTGCCGACCGATTTCTCGGGTTTCGCTGGGACCAAAGAAACGTCCGAATAATTGAGCAGTCCAAAAAATTGGCAGATTGAAAAACTTGCCTTTATTGCATCTAAGCGGGCTTAAGAAAGTTGTCGATAGTGCCCTGCTTCAAGTTACGCCTCCGCTTGCGTTCGGCCACCTTTTAATAGCTTGAGAATCGCTGCCTTCTTTACTAGCGCTATGGTCGAGCACTTTTTGTGCTTTTTAGCTACACTTCGCGGGGGCCATGACGTCCAAACCAGCATATTCCAAAAGCACGATTCACCGAAAGATGAGAGGCGCAAGTCCACGACTGCAGGATGGCGAACGAACAAAGCAAAATTGTAACAATGATGATGATAATGACGCGCAGCTAGAGAAGGAAGAAAAGCCGCAGCATAGCTTCACCTAGTGGTAGGACTTAGCAGTACTCAAGTAGCTCTGCCATACCAAGCCAATCCATGTGCAGCCAACAAAATCTAAAATGGCTGCTTCCCGATGGTGTTTCCCGCTGATCGCTTGTAACGATTTTGTTTGAAAAATCACACTTTCCAAATTTAAGCTGTCTGAAACATGGGTCGTGAATATGCCGTGAATATGCACTATTTCTATCGGGTAGATCACGGTTTCTCCTTAGGTCCGAAATATCTAACAAGTCTAAATTACCGGTGTCCGAAAAATCGATTGGTAACTGTAGTGTAGGTTTGAGGGTTGTTTCTGCACTTCAGAAATGTTGGTGCGGCTCTGTTTTCAGTTGAGGTAGAGTGAGACCTTGCAGGTTGTACTTCGCTATAATTGACATGTTACATATTTTGATAAAAGAAAAAAAAAAAGGGAGGATATTTCTGGCTAACATGTTTTTGGCATGCAACATATTTGTCATATTTCAGACAGTGTTTAATATAAAACATTTAAAATGTTGCCATTAAAAAAAAATATTTTCATTAACAAGTACAGTAAACATTTTTCTGATGTTTCACAAGTATTGTTGTCAGCAAACTAAGATAGCTGACATGGTGATTTTATCGGTGCAATGCTAAATTGTCTAATGAAACTTAATATCTCTCCTGCCTGGTTGTCAAACTTTTTATTCTAGTGTTGCTTAATTGTGTACAAAACAAACATGAAGGAAAATGTTGTGAAAAAATTTAAAATGGAAAATTGCAGGATAAAAAGAAGCATTCAGAGGTCGTGGCAGATGAACAAGTCTTGAAGCCATGTCGCTCAGTTTGTCTCATATCATTTTGTGTACAGGCATGCTTGTGTATTGAAGTGTAAAACTGAATTTCCTTTCCACTCGACCTTCAACTGAAGTGAATTTGTTTTCCAGCTTGGCGGCACCATAGGAGACATAGAGGGCATGCCCTTTGTGGAGGCCTTCCGACAGTTTCAGTTCCGGGTCAAACGGGAAAACTTCTGCTGTGTGCACGTCAGTCTGGTGCCTCAGGTAAGGTCTACTGAGAGCCATTTAGGTGTGGTACTGCATGTAGTAAAGAAGTATACACCACTGTATGCCTCAGGGCATCACCTTGAGGCTGTACTTTTAACAAGAGCAAACTTTAAGTGTTATACTAATTTTGGGTGCAAGAACCTTCGGATGGCTTTAAGAATAGTCAAACAAGCTAGGGTGCCTTCATGTGTGCCTTGCTCAAGGTGGTGCCACTCTTTGGGATGCTGATTGTGACAATCCAGCGTTGTCAACCTCATTGTTGTACTTACCTCCACTGTTGTGGTTGACCATGTTGCTTAACTATGATAGTTCCCATTAGGGCTTTGTAGCGCTGTCGATAACCCCGGTTGAACGACTACAGGTCGCCGGTTAGATGAGCTTGTAGCCTATTACTCTAGCTGTACAAGTAGCGACATTAGGTTACCTTACTTTCCGGTGTATAAGTCGCTTTTTTTTTCAAACATTTCTCTTGGTGCAACTTATACAACGATGCGACTTGTGTAAGATTTTTTTTTTCTTTTTTTCGAGGTGCGACGCCATTTTTTTTTTTTACGCCACGCGCCATCTTTTGTAGAGCACCATAACTACGTAGCCATAGGTGGTGTTTCTCCCTCCAGGAGGCACTGCTGTCGCCGCATTATTTTGACTCTGAATGCAAGATATTTTAATTTTACGGTTTCCCCAAAGCGGCTCAATGTGGATAGGCAAGACAGTGAGAATAAAGCTTTTACAGCATGTTATTGATGTTGCCTAGTTAAGTCGTGGTTCCGTATTATTTTGCTTCAGTCCAGTAACGCTGAAAAGTAAGTGGGCTGGTATACACGTATTGCAGAATATTTTCTCACGTCTTTCTTAGTTTCCGTTTGATGAGCTGTTTTTTGTGCCATGCTCCAGCAGCGTTGCTACATGTAAAAGGAAGGATTGTGGCTAGCCAATCTTTTAGGGGTACCAAAAAAAAAGTATGTCAAGGTTTATCTTTTTGCCTGCACATCGATGCTCGCGTCGCCTCCGGGACTTGGCCTAGGCTAGGCCGTGGGCTAGGCCTAGTGCTCCAATGCTTAATTCGTGAGTGTCTAGCTCTTTAAAGGGCAACTCCGCTTCATTTTTAGTTTTGAAAAAAACAATGCAGTCCTCTTCAGTATCGCCTAGGAAGACCACACGACAAATATTACGACACAGCTCTTTCTAAATGTTTCTTAAACGGTCCGGCAAACTTTGCAACTCGCCAAGTTGCCGAAATCGGCTGACTCGAGCGGGCGAATTCAGGCGCAACCAACAGCGCAGTCAAGGCTACGGCATGGGCGGAGCCAACATTGAGCTAAACGTCATCATCATCGCCGCCTTTTGCTTGTTTTTACTTCTCCGATCGAGCATAGCGCATGACGTCAGCAACGTTGCCTCTCGGCGCTCAGCAGTGTCCACGTGATTGGCGTAACGCGCCTGCGCAGCGCGTCTCTTGGGAGCCGTTAGGCCGCCCGCCGTGGTCCCGCCGTTACCGCCGTCTTCCGCGTCACAACCGCCGTCGTCGTCTCACCGATCGTGATTGTCTCTCGGAGTTTCGTCCACACTACGGACACCACGTGCACGCACACTTATGCCGCAGTTGTGCAGACGTCGTCGAATGCCGTAGACACCAAAACGTGGCGAAGAGTGCGGTGCAGACGACACTCGCGCCTGCCACACACCCGCCCCAATCCCGCCCGTCGTTGGGCCGAGGATCACGTGACATCTCGTACCACGTGATGGCCATGTACTTGGCGGCCCGAGGCCAATGTTGCCGGACGGAGCCGAAGTTTCGGTTTCGATTTCCGCTCATGTTTAAAATTAGATTTAAACATTAATATCCCATTTTTCGCGAAGCAAACAACGTAGTGTCTTTTACTAGGGCTTTTTAGTTCGAAATCACTCATTATCCCGAAATCTTCGGAATTGAGCGGAGTTGCCCTTTAAACTTTTGTTCGCTCGGCATGCATTCACTCGAATAAAGTCGACTACCCTCTCATTTTGTGCATTTTATTTTCTTTTGCTGCGAAACACTCAATTGCCCCCGCCAGACTGCACCATACTATGGGCATTTCTCGCGAGTCAAAATGAGAGTCAGACGGTATGTGCGATTTAGCAATTGTGTGAAACACCGATTTCGCAATACCGACATGTGTAAAGTAAAGAATTCATTGCGTGAATCGTGCAGAAGGGTGCGACTTATACAAACATGTGACTTATATACCAACTTTTCCACGAAAATGGCTCAATATATGGATGTGCGACCTATTCAAGGGTGCGACTTATCCTGAAAATACGGTATATGTTTATCATTCTAGATAAGAAAGCAAACAGGAGTGCACAAAATATTTTTAAGGCATTTGCTTGCTTTTGTTTGCGTAGCTTGCAATGCTGATAGCCAAAACGTGATAGACAGCTTACTGTATTTACTCGCATAATGAACACTTTTTTTTTTCCCGAAAATTTGACAGATTGCAACAAAAGTTGTGCATCTTGTATGCCAACTCGCCTTAATCTGGTTAATGTCTGTCAGAATAGAAAAATGTTAATTTGATAGGATCGTACGGTAAAGGTAGACGAAGGGTGCTGGCAAGCAAGGCATGTGCAGTGCTCCTTGTGGTGCCGGTCAGTTTTGTTACCCTATTTACTCGCAAAATGAACACACTTTTTTCCCGAAAAATTGACACATATTTGGGGGGGGGGGGGGGGGGGGGGGGGGGGGGGCATTTATGATGCGGGGTAAAATTTTTGCATTTACACACTTTGTGCAAATGTCATTTTAGGTGCCAATATGACATGGCACGGGACTGTGGCACGTCTCCATTGACGGAGGCGCGCACATGGCTGGTCGTGAGCGTACCACAGTAACCATGCTCTATAAATTTCTAACCTTTTTAGGGCACCTTTGGCGAGCCTTCTGCCAAAGAAAAAGCACACTACGAAACTCACGCAGCACCGAGAGCGATGCGACCATTCTTAGGCCTAACCATTTTTACAATATCACTGTTCAAAAGCGGATCACTGAAGGCGGCGTGTTTGTTGACATCAATGCATCTGATGGACAAAGCATGTCCAAGGCTGGGCAATTCCTTGACCCCAGCTTTTCTAGGCGTGTGCGCTGCTTGGTTTCACGATTTATCACTTCCACACCTACGCAATTCCAGCCATTACGAGAGCGGCTTGGTTTGGCTTGACTTGGCCTGCCCGTTTGGCGGTCAAAAGAAAATTGGCGAGCTTGGCGGCTAGCTGGCTAGCTAAGACGGACGCAGCTCAAGACTTGTGGGGACGAAAATTAAAAGTGCAATCATTACGCAAAGAAAAAAAAGCCCAAATGTTGATGTTTGTTTGGGGGGGGTGCATTCATTATGCAAGTAAATACGGTAGATGTTCAGAGTTTTTCTCTATAATATTTGCATTTCGTTTGAAGTCTCCTATACTTTTAGCTTGCAGCATAAAAATACAAAGTAGCAGCACAAACAAAGCATGAAGTACCACAACGACGATAACCACACCCGCCAAACTGGCTGGCATCAGCTAGTCCTATGGAAACGGGAGCATTGCTACGGATTGCTGGAGTTTCCAGACTTGTGTGGATTCAATGTTGCTTATGTCTTAGCAAATATAGCAGGAAACAATATGGTGATGGGGACCCGCAGGTTGCACCTAATTGGATAGTGGTGCTACCACAAACCCCAGCCATGTAGGTTTACACACCCACCCACAGGGGGCACCTGCGTTAGTAGGTGTTTGGTAAGTAGTGTCACCACTACTAACCTCTGGCCATGTAGGGTCACCCTTCCATGCCTGGCTTTGGGTGGCTTAGCCCAAAAAAAGGGGATCCTGGTGGTTGAGCTGAACCCGGGGTACGTTTGGACACTTCGGAGCCCCCGGGCGAGACAATATGTCACTTCGGCCGCCACTTCCCCTAGGCAGATGTCCTGGCTCAGCCCAACCAGGATGATTTAGTCCAGTTGCCTTTCTCCACCACCTCTCCTTTCTTTAATATTCTTCTTCTTCTCTTCTGTCATACTTCATCTTCTTAGGCAGCAAGGGCTAACCCTGGGTGGTGACGGATCTCTCCCTAGGTCCACACCCGGTTACAGTTTCTTGGCACCTGGGGCGTAATTGTGTCAGCCAAGCCATTCTCGCTATGGCACATTACCTATCCCCTTGATGGGCTCAGTGATGGGCGGTGCGCCAGAGATTCTGAATACAACTCCAACACTCTGTGGCTCCCAAAAAGGAATTGCCCTTTACTCACTTTTGACAAAGCATGTGTACGACCATAGTTCCCAAGATTCTTTCTGCTCTAAGCCCAAGACAAAGAAAAGCCACTGGCTAAGCTCTCTCCCTTCCTTGTGTATAAATGCATCGACGCCACCGTTGGCAAAGCTTTCAAGGCGAGAAAGCTTTCTCGTAATCTTCTTGTTGAGGTTGAAACAGAAGTTCGAAGCAGAACGCTTCTAAAATAGACATGTCTGGGCGAACACCGAATAAAAGTCGGCCCCCATTGGACGCCGAATAATGATTGAGGCATTGTCTCTGAGACTGATCTCATAGACTGCACTGGGGACGAAGTCCTGGCTGCACTCTAGAAACTGGCTGTGGTGGCCGTCGTGCGTATCAATATCCATAGAGACTCGCAGGAGCAGCCAACCATGCATTTCATTCTGACCTTTGAGCTGCGTACACTTCCTGCATTTATTAAAGCTGGTTATCTCCATTGCAAAGTCCGGCCATTTATCCCAAACCCACAAAGACTTTTCCAATGCCAGTACTTTGAGCACAGTTTGCAAAACTGTCGGGGCCCCGAAACATATGCGTCGGCAGGATTTTGTCGGGGGGGGGGGAGGGGGGGGGGAGGGGGGGGGCAAACTGACAGCAAACTGACAGCCCTTTTTGGGCGTGTCGCTCAAGGGGAAGGGGGGGGGGGGGGGGGGGGTCCCAGAGTAAAATACGAAAGAGCTAAATGCAGCTTGCAAGATACACATATT